GTCCCCTTTTATTAAGGTTGTCGTTAGTAGGTGCCTTCGGATATTAAGGACCTATTAACCTTCGTTAGGGTGTTGAGTTAACCCCTTTACTCTTTGAGTTTACCGTCTTCCTCTGACGCTAAGCTACGGCAGCCCCGCTGCACTGTTGGCAAAGGCTCACAAATACTGCCATCATTTAGAACAGACCCATGACGGGGCAGCTGTATGTTCAACCCTGTCGTGACGTCATTCCTATCAAAATATTTCTGAACCAAATAAAAACGTCGAAGAACTCGCAGTTTGTGTGAATCAAGCCAAACGCCATCAACACTGATATCATGTGGCGACAAAGGATCCCCATTTGGTGCATCAATGGGCACTCGCACGTTTTAGCCGCGATATCTACCAATCTTCTAACATCAACTGGCTATCGCGTGTCGTACGCGTATGCTTTTGTTGCACTAGTCTTCATCACCGAGTGGAAGGCTGGCTTTGCGCGCTCTTTTTTGATACATTGCTTCTGCGTACTCAGTAATTATTTTGCCCACTTTTAGCCACGCAGTAGCTTCTTCCCAACGCTTGTACTTAGTTTTCGTGAAGAGCTCCATATAGTGTGTGAAAAATTCAGAAGGATTCAACTCGCGAGCAAGAAGTGCACGACCATTCTCGGACTCCACAGAGTTTGTCGTTCTCCATTTGTACGGTTTGTTGATGTCTACGTGCCGATACAAAAACTAATTGGCTGGACTAATGTTTCTCACATACGACTCCATATCACTGTTACTAGTTCCGAATGCCAAGATTTTTGACTCAAACTCGCATTTCGCTTTCTGGATTTTGTTAAATCTTTTTTTCGAGATCAAGAGCAGAACGAGCTTCGGATTTTTTTCTTATGTTGCCAGCAATATGGCGAGTACAGAAGTGAAGTTGAAGTCCGAACACGGCTCCTGCAGCAATACGAGCCTTCCCACGGTCCATGAAAATGGGATTCCTGACATCTGAATATTGGGTTTCATGCAGTTGAGCATAAACCACTGACAATTTTCTGTATCTTCGGACGGTACCTGTGCAACTGCCATCACAATGTTCTGGTTGTTACCATCGCGACCAACCAAAATCAACACAGTATTTTTTTATTTACAGTTTTCATGAAAGAGCCGTCAAACCGAGTATACGCTGTGCTCTATCTTGGTCTCGAGCGGCGCGTTGGAAAGAAATGCTCTGCGATACCGATTCTCATCGTTAATTTCAAACGCGTGGTAAGCACCAATATTCATTTCATAGAACAATTTCGGTAGTGCTGGCAAGCGCTGACAACTGTCTTCGTAGTTACTAGCACTTGCCGCTTTTATCGCTTCTCGGACACGATAAGTCATTCGGTTTCCAACAGCGAATCCATTAAGACATTTTAACTGGCTTGCGAGCTTTTTCCACTGGTGGCTGTGTCGCTTCGAACAAGAGCCGAAGCTGTAGCTGTTGAGGTCACTTGCCGTGCTGTAACCTTAGGCACACCAGTACAACCGTTGTGCTGGGCGTTGAAGGAGCTCAGAAAGAATCCTTTTGCACCCTTGCGTTTGTATCACAGCATGATAGCCTTAAAAGAGCATTTAGTCGGGCTAGACAGTTCGGTCGCCCCCCCCCCCCGATCGGCTACGGCTTTAAATAGCGCGCTTTTCTTGATCCAGCGCAAAGTCCTGGACGAGAGCTGTTGCTTCAGGACGAGACTGAAAGTGCATTTTGACTCGAAGAGAGACCTGGCGACCGCTGGCGCCATTCACAGTGACTTCTGCATCGTGGCCATATTGCTTGACTGCTGTCTTCTTTTTCTCGTGATTTTGTATGAATGGCGTTGACGTGAATAAATAAAATGTTTCTTTGAAAGCGACCCCCCGGCGTCCAGCTATAATAAACCACGTGATATTTTTTTAAATAGTACCAGCATTTGGCTAAAGTCCGTTGCGCGACACATCGGCTCATAGCAGTAAGGGGTGAATATCGATGCTTTCGACTGGTACGGCAAATTTCACAATAACACTAAATGCGTGACCGCTGTTCTTCAGGCGGACGAGCAGCGCAACATAGTGATACCTTGGAAAATGCGGGTTTTATAAGGTAGCGCAAAGACTGCTTTTCAAAATGGATACTACCACTGGTCCAGCTGAAGCACACACACACACACACCGCTTGGACCGTCCGTTGATGGTAATTTTTCCGAACGAGCTAGAAATCCAGTCTCACAACCCGAATATGGTAACGGAGACATTCGTAAATTTTGGGTCATATGGCGCATCCGCTTGAAGCTGTATTTCGTATTTTCGGATCGATCGCTCATGGATAAACCAATATCGTTATGGTTGTTGGAACTAGTAACACAACCCATAGAAAACATACCTGTTGTTCTTTAATATGGTTTCAGAACCTCGATACGGAAGTAAAACACTTACTAGCCGCATAGAGGCACCGTGTCTCGCCTCAGTTATCCCAATAAGCAAATATTTTCTGTCGCAGTTATCCACTTTAGCAGATCATCCACCATGATGTGAACTTGAGCGTGCGGCTTCTTCATCTTTGCGGGTTCCATGTTTGGCTCGCCAGGCCAGGATGCAGATAGGCTAGCGCGGTGACATCGTAATAGAAGGCGGCGGCCCCCTGCTGATCGTGCGAGCAACCTTGGCTGGTCGATTGGCTTTCGTACCAGAGTCCGTCATTTCTTATTCGCAGGAGTTGCAACCGTAACAACAACATAAACATCAATTTAATCCGCTACACAAACAGCAACATGAAGAGCGGTAATGGCAGCAACACTAATAACAACAAAGTCACACAGGCTACCTGTCTAGTTGTCGACTTTCATCCCGTCGTCATTCTTCGAGCTGTCCTAGTTGTCGCTCGCTGAAGATATGTCGTTCTCCGCATCATCCACGGCGGCGCCGCCTACAGTCTCACCATCCTTTGCAGTGTTCTCCGTTTCACTATTGAGACCAATTAGATCTAGTGGACGCGTGTCTTTTGCGGTTAAGGTGAAGAATCCAGTGAAATCCATCGAATATATTGTCACTTTCATTTTTTTCGCGCACAAGTGCCTTATTAATAGCGCTAAATTTACTTGAGAGGTGATCGGATTCCTTCCTCGATCTCTTTTGATGGCCGCGACTTTTGGGGCACCGTCAGACTTGCGCGCAAGGTGGTTCCTCAGCTTAGACGGCGCATTTAGGTCGGCATGACAGCACCTTTACTATTATTAGCACTTAAAAAGAGCTTTAAAACACTGACCGAGCAAGGCCCACTGAAACACTACCCGTGTCGATTTGGTTTTGCTGTTAGCGCTCATGGGAGATTTGTCGGTTTGCGTCTCCTGCATCTCGAAAATATAGGCGATAGATTTGCGGTAACTTCCCTCTCTCCACCGATTTCAATGCAACACAGAGTTTTTTACTGTCCAATCAGGAGGTTCCACACTTCGCAACAAAATATTAGTGAGTTGCACTGAATTATAAAACTTTCTACAACCGAACGTCCGCGCCCTGTTATATTCCAGTCTCTAACTAAGTAATAGCAAATTAAAAGCTCTACAACCAAAACAAATTGTTGGGGGGTTTTAAATTTATATTTACTTAAATAGAGATATTTTATCTCCTTACATTTTGTTTTTAGGAATATAGTTTTAAGTATTTTCCCGCTCCAGATAAAGTTTTACTATTGTTATCCTTTCTTAAAGAACGAAAAATAGAACTTTACTCAGAGGGGGCTTTTTTAGAGGTGATGCTTTGGCCTGGGAGGACAGCAACTCTTTCCAATCATAACTTAGGACACTTTAGGATTTTTAAAAAAATTGCTAAAATATCCTTAGTTTTGATTTGATGTTACTCATCTAAGGGGACCGGCCTATATTATTTTTTTATTTTTTTCGCTGCAGTGGTTAAGTGAATTTCAATAACAAAATTTAATTGAATGTACGCCACATCGCTTCTTCAGACAACTTTGTGAAGACCACGTCACAAAACATGATTGTGTTCGTTTAGCCAAATTGGTAGATTATGGACTCAGGCGACATTTGCTAGTTAAAGTCTGGGCACCTCCGGCAGCTGTGATAACACTGGTTAGGCTGTTCAGCCAGCTAATCCTGTCCTCCCAGTACGGCAGTGCACCCTAAACAGGATTTGCAAAACACATCAGGTTTCAGCATAGAAACCCAAAACAATTTGGCAATGGGAGCATTATACCCGGAAGCTCATCAAAGGTTCGATCCCGCGAAAATGGAGTCCAGTAAAAAAAAAAAAAAAGGGGGGGGAATTTACTGGGAGGGGGCTTTTATTCGGGTGTGTACGTTAGTCGTTACTTGTGTGCACCACATGATTGTCTTTTCTGTCACCACGTTTGCGCATTGTGCACAGCAACGTTCCTCTTGGCTCAGAGCTGACCGGCGAGCTCCGAGCTGCGCAGTGTGCACTTTTCAATTCGATAAACAGCATGTTGCGCCGCGGGTTGTCTTCGCTGACCACAAAGCCGTCTTGGGTGCGACCGGGCTCGTACGATTACCTGCGCGAGGTTCTTGAGAGCCGTGTGTACGATGTAGCTGTCCAGACGCCACTACAGCTCGCTCCAGCGCTGACGCAGTCACTACCGGGCAATTGCCGCCTTTTCCTGAAGCGTGAGGTGTGTTTAACTGACTGCATTGATTGCGAGTAGATCCAATTCTTATTAATGTCGCTATTGTCGTAGGACATGCAACCGACCTTCTCGTTCAACCTCCGCGGCGCCTACAACAAGATCGCTAACCTGACGCAGGCCCAGCAGGAAAAGGGTATTGTGGCCTGTGCAGCCGGCAACCACCTGGAGGGTGTGGCTTTCGCTGCCGCTAAGCTAGGCGTCGATGCCATCGTCATTGCGCCCGTCGGCACGGCACAGAACGTCTCCCACTCCACCAAGAGCAAAATTACGATGGTGGAGCACGGTGCTGACTTTGACGCGTCAATGGTACGTTGCTAGTCGTGGAGATTAAATCTCATGTATTGGTAGAAACTAATTTGTTATTCCGCTGTATCCTTTGCAGAAAGAAGCGTTCCGTGTTGCGCAGACTGAGGGTAGATCCCTTGTTCACCCGTTTGATGATCCGCTTGTGATCGCTGGCAACGGCACGATCGCAATGGAGATTTTGAAGGAGGTACGGTCGTGTATTAAGGTTGAAATATATGTGCACAGCTTGGCTAATAATTGTACTGGGTGTTGATGTGGGTAGACGTCAGGAGAACGCCCAGCGGCGATCTTTGCTCCTGTTGGAGGCGGTGGCTTGATCGCAGGTCTTGCTGCCTATGTGAAGGAGGTGGCCCCCGATGTTAAAGTCATCGGTGTGGAGGCAGAAGGTGCTAACCTCTTGGAAGTTTCGATGAAGGAGGGCTCTCCAGTGGCCATCCCGAGCGTTAACCGATTTACTGAGGAAGTGGGCATCAAGACCATTGGCACGGAGAACTTCAGACTATGCAAGGACCTGGTGGACGAGGTGGTTACCGTCTCCACTGACGAGATCTGCTCTGCGATCAAGGACATTTTCGGTGACACGCGCTCGCTTATGGAGCCCACTGGTAGGTGTTTGAGTCACCATGCTTAGTGTGAATGCTATCGGAGATTCAATTGCTTTTTTTAATCAGGTGCGATCAGTGTTGCTGGAGCCAAGAAGTATGCTCGTGTGAAGAACGCGCAGAACGAGAAATACGTGGCTGTGCTGGCTGCCGCTAACATGGACTTTGATCGGTTACGCTTCGTCTCGGAGCGTTCAGATGATCGCGAGCGCTTTATGGCTGTCAAGATCCCCGAGAAGATTGGCAGCTACCAGGAGCTCTACAACGTCATCTGTGAGTATTTGATCATGAATGCCGTAACGCAACTCGACTAATGTTTTATCTCTCACTGTAATAGTCCCGCACAACATGACGGAGTTCACGTACCGTATGGATTCCGAGGGTGACAGTGTGGCTCGCATCTGCATGAGCATCCAGACGAAGACGGAGGACGAGTTTGTCAACGTTGTGAAGGCCATCAACGAGCGCGGCGACATGCACGCCACCGATCTAGCCTCCAACGAGCTGGCTAAGTCGCACCTGCGCCACCTCGCCGGTGGCCGTCCGGAAAACGTAAGTCGCTGTATTCCGAGATGCTGATTTTGCCCTGGAGTGTTTGCTTATCTGCTGTGTGCTGCCATATTTCAGGTCACTAATGAGCGAGTGTTCCGCATCGAGTTCCCCGAGCGCCCCGGTGCGCTGAAGGACTTCCTCGAGACTCTCGGGTACGTTAGCACACCGCTAAATCGCTGTTGAAACGTGTAAGCTAACTCGTCTTCTGATTGTTGGCGCCACAGTCAATCTGCTCGTCAGTGGAACATCAGTATGTTCCACTACCGCAACCACGGCGCCGACATCGGCCGCGTACTCGTAGGTTTCCAGGTGCCCAAGAAGGATAACGCAGCATTCCATGCGTTCCTGAGCCAGGTTGGCTTCCGCTGTGAGGAAGAGACCAATAACCAGGCGTTCACGCACTTCCTGCAGTAAAAGTAAAACTTCAACCTTTACATCCAACAGTGTTAAAGTGTGTGACTTTTGTGGTTCACGAAGCAAATGCTGCTACCACTTAACGCAACATTACCTAAATTTGGCCAATCAGATCGCTACATTTCGAAAAGATTTCCTCCCCCGCACCCAAAAGGAAAAAACGCGCGCGAGAAGACTCGGCCCGCATCCGACCGCTCATTCCCTCAACTCGTACGGGTTTCTCAGGGTTCGTAGAGGATTGGCAAGTAACGCAGCGCGTGGCGCGTCATTTCACACGTGTGACGAGCTCTCGATCGCGCTCAAAAAGGCTTTAGAAGCCAAGAATCAAGAAACAGAAGAAGATGCAGGCGGCCAGCGCTGGCGTAACGCCGCGTGCGCCGCCCAGCGACAAGGAACGGAAGCTTATGGAAGTCTTGTTGCAGGCAGCAGAATCGCGCGTGGTGCCGGTGTTAGCGTGTGTCAAGGGCTGGCCGTTGGAGGCGCAGGCGGATCTGGCCAACTGGCGTCCGGTGCTATTGAAGCTACACAGGCTGCTACTGGGAGCGTTACACCAATGTCCCCGCCTACTATTGGTGGAAACAGAGCTGGAGAAGATGGATCAGGCAATCACGACGCAGGCAGTGCAAGAACTGACAGAGTTAGTATACGAGATCTTGAAGTTTTCGGGGTTCCTGCTCGAGAACGCCACTAATAAGGCAGTGTATCCATCTGCTGATCTCGCGATGGCTCTACTAGCAGCTAGAAATGAACGAGTTGTGTTCGAGGCAACAAAAGTGGCGGCCATGTTAGCATTGCCCCCTCAAGTACATCGCTACGCTGCAGATCCCACGAGTTTTATGGACCCTGCAGCCAGTAAGAATAATTTACTGAGACGGAGATTGCTGACGGTAGTGCAAGGACGAGGAGCGCCCAAGAACAGCTTGGAGGTGGTGGACTATTTGAATGCGGCGAGTGCTGCCACCTCCAAAGACGTGGACTTTCAGTTTTACAGTTCAGACCAGGACGAGAATGCGACGGCTCATGTTGTGAGTGTAACGATCCCTCCCTATGGGGAAGTAGTGACAGCTGCTACATCTCCTCCGGAGGTTGCGTGTGCAGCGGCAACGGCGTGTGAACGTCTGATTGAACAGCACAAAATTCCCAAGAGATTTCATTTCCAGTTATATACACAGGTGCGAGCGTGTTATGCGTCTCGTAGTGCGTTGGCGCGGGAGAATTTGGTGGTGGAACGACTGCACGCGCTGCTTGCGCTGTTTTCGCTGTTCAGTGATGCGTGGGATGTGACGAATTACGTGGAACAGCACCCAGAGCTGACGCGAGGGATCGTGGAGCTTATTCGCGTCGAGAGTATTGAGCACGTGCCTGTGCGCGTGCGAGTTACAGCATTACTTGTGCTGACGGCGTTAGTGAACGATCGAGTTGGGAGAGCAGGTGGGATGGGTTTGCTTGGCCGGCAGTCCAACGTATTGCAGGCTTTGGGCGTGGTTAAGGGAACGCCACACGGAGTTTTTCCTTCGCTCGTGCGTTTTTGTATGGCAGAACTGGGTGATGTGACGGCGCTTGGCTCTGCTTCAGGAGCTGCGTCACCTCCCATCACATCAGAAACATCGGATACAGATATGGATATGAGTCTGGCAGTCGCGTTTGTGCAGGCAACTACAGACTTGTTGTCTCCTCAAGAGGCCGAGGTGGTCAGTGCTCCTCCATTCCGAAGTGTCAGCAGCGGAAGCGTTCAGGAGATTAAACTCTGCTGGATGGAGGCTGTTTTAGGACTACTGACTGCTGTGGTGGCCATTCAGTCTGGTGCTGCTGTTCTCACGGAAAATGGAATTGTTCCAGCTCTTCTACATGTGCTCACAATGCCGTCGGTGAATGCGTTTCACATGGCCGTCACGACTCAGTGTGTGCAAGCACTAGAGATTACGGTGAGTAGTCATTCGGCGGCAGCTGCGCTCTATCGTGACTTGAATGGAGTAGGTATTCTCGTGGATCGGCTCAAGCTGGAGTGTGCTGGTATTGCTGGCTCTAGAGCGGGTGCAACGAGCTCGTCAGTCGTGTCAGAAACGAAAACGGTGCTGTTGCTAGCCATCTTGGCGTCGTTATCCATGTCGTTCCATTCTCAGGGCGTGATGAGCGCAGGAGCGACAAGCCGCGCTATTCGCGAAGGAAGCGCTCTCAACAAGGTGTTACTACAGCTTCTGTCCAATGTGGACATCTTTGGACCCGTCGTATTTGCTCAGACGGCGATTGTGGTTTCTGATATTATCAACAACGATCCAGCCAGTGTGAATCATGTGCATGCTGCAGGACTGGCAGATGAGTTCTTGAAAACACTTACGCGATGGGACATTGCAGAGTTGTATCCATCTCGGATTCTATTGCCACCATCCAGTGAATTACTGACTGCAGTACCGACCGTGCTGAATGCTTTGTGCCTCACGACAACTCACGCGGAGAAGGTGGCAAAGTACGAGCCGCTCATGCATCTTCTCGATGTGTTTGCTCTTCCGCAGTACACAGAAGACGAATCCAAAGACTACTGCTTCCAGGGCGATACGGCGGCTGTCGTTGGTGCTGGCATCTTTGAGCTAATGCGACATGTTCCAAGCTTTCAGAACGCTGCCATTCAAGCTGCGGTTCATGCTTTGAAGAAAGTGATTCGATTCGGAGAAGAGAGTAGTTCATTGACAGCCTCGACGCTGCCCCAATTTACCGGAGACAAGGCCAACAGAATTTTAATCCGCATGACCACCCACGTGGCGGATTTGTTGGAACCGTTGCTATCCAAGTCGGAGCACGCGGCATATTTTGCGGATCTTGGGGGCATTCGGCTGCTTCTAGCGCTCTACCAACTAATTTTGCCAAGCACTTCCTCGTTTTTGGAAAGTGCTTTGCCCAACAAGAAAACCGCGAGGAGTGGTTTGCCCGAAAACTCCCTGGCTCATAATCCGGCAGTGCAGTCGATTACTCTTGCGCTTCGTTCATACGCATCCCAGCAGCCTACTAACCTTCTCGGGGCAATCACCAAGGAACTGGGAGTGCAGATGGATAACCTGCAGCGCTCTCGTGCAAAGATTGGATTGCCGTGGTTCCTGAGCGAGAGCGGAGAGGGAGCCGAGAAAGTGTTGAGTTCGTTGCCGGATGTTAATTTGGCAGACTTGGTGGGTGGACTCGAAAAGAGCAGCGCTACGAACCCCATTGCCGATAAAGTCATGGTTGTTGGAGAGTATCTCCGTGTCCTGGCAGTGCTCGAGTGGCTTGCGTCTGTGCTCATCTGGACGTTGGAAACGGCGCACACTCACATGCAGAGTCGGCGATGGTTTACAGACTTTACTACGTCGTCAACGCAGCAGATTATAGCACGTTTATTTCGTGTGGACCGTTCGGTGCAATTCGAGCGGGCGAGTTTGGCGGCACTACACCAGAAGAAGCGAAAGGAGACGAGTTTGGAAAAGCAGACTGACGGTGAGGCGGATGCCATCATGGAAGGGACGGATAAACCTGATGTTGATGCAGCCAAAAGTGGACCTCGACGTGCAGGTCTCTGGAAAATGGGTTCTATTCTTCTCCTACGCTTTTCACTGAGCATGCGTGGGCTTCTAACAGCTTACAGCAAGGTGTTGTTGTCGGCTCCGATGCAGCATCGCCGTGGGGATGATATCGTGGTGCCTTTAGCACCGCATGCTCGAGCTCTAGCACGGACGGCGACGCAAATATTGGAGGGTCATTTGCTGTATGTCGTATCTGTGACTCGTGCGACACAGATTGATACGTTTGTACAGCAGTACTATCTCACGTTCCTGTTGGAGACCATTTCAATCGTACTTTTCGAGGGAAAGAAGAAGCAAGCCAACACTCTGTTGCTCGTTGAGCTCATGAAGCCGATCGGTGATATTTCGGAGGTGCAAGTACCGCCACAAACTCCTTCGTCATCGAGTGATGACGTACCTATGGTTCAAGAGAGCGTCTCAGATGGAGAAAGCGATGGTGCCAAGGGTGGCAAAACGATCGCTACTTGTGCCGGGGCACAAATCACAGCTTCGAACCTTATGGATGTGATCATGAATATTATTGAGCGTTTCTTCACGGTTTGTCTCGAAGGAGAGCATGATAAGGCTACTAGCCCTGGTAGCAAGTCCTCGCAGATGGCGTTGACATCGTTTCACATCGCAGCAAGTGTTCTGCGAAAGCTGTCGAATCTGGAAGGTTTATCTGCATCGCCGTTGACAGCTGCACTGCTTACAAGTGATGAAGCAGGGGAGTCGGATGACGCGCCATTTGAACCTAAGAAACTCACGGTCCAGTTACATACGATGTGCGTGCGTGCGTTGCTGTCTATTTGGAACAACCCGAAGTTTTCAACCTCGTCCGTGGATGCGTGTTTGGCTGAGATTATGCCAATTGCTGTGACAATATTGAAGAATCGAATGGATGATGACGAAGAAGCGTTGGGCTCGGATGGCGAGCTAGGCCGTCGACAAGGATTGGGCTTTAGTCGCAGCAACCGTGAAAGAAACTCCAGCACCGAACTTTATAACGAAGCATTGTCGCTTCGACGTGCTCTCTTTGGGGGGTCACGTGGGGGTGGATCGTCTGGACTGGGAGGAAGTAGTCGACGCCAGTCTTTTGTACCAGATTCGGAGATTGTAGAGAGCTTGGTATCGATGGGTTTTCAGCAGCCACGAGTCGAGCGTGCACTACGACATGTTCAAGTAAACAACATGGAACTAGCCATGGAGTGGATTCTGGCTCACCCTGAGGACGAGAATGAGGCGGAAGGTGATGAAACGCAACACGACGAAGCTACAGGAGAGGATAGCGCGGCTGCGGAAGCTGCCCGTCGTCGAGAGAGAGAAGCAACAGAGGAGAAGAAAATGGAAGACGAGTTGCAAGCGCTGTACTCTTCACTGCGAGACAATTTCGAAGCAGTGTGCTTTCAGATCTTACGTGTGCAAGCTACAAAAGAAAAACAGGAAGATCCGAAGCGCTCCAAAGATGCGGAGACCAGCACTTTGTATCCGAGCCAGAACTTGGTCAAGGCGATCTCAGAGTATTTCAGTTTCTTGTGCTCGCGCTCAGATGAAGACCGCGATTTGGTGATCCAGCGTCTCAATGCTGCTATTATCGATTACTTCAACGGAGGTGCAGAAGACGGGGATGAGTATTTGACCATGTTGACCCACCTGCTAGCTCTTGTACTTCAACTGAATTCTGATTCGTGGGCAGCGATGCAACAGCAGTCACCTTCGTGTATCGACAAGCTTGTGGCTTCAGTGTCGAGCAGCGAGTCTCTGAAGCCCTCCTGTACTCCAGTCCTGCTGGTTCTCGACGCCGTTGTTGCAGGTAGATCAGCTAAACAAGCGTCTAATGCAGGGTCACGATCTCTCGATGCCGCTCTGGTGAGTACCGAAGTGAAGAACGGAGACGAGTCGAAAGAAGAGAGCAGTGGTTCAGCGAACCAGGCCGAGGACGCCGCGTTCGAGCAGCAACTGGTAACAATTTGCCTGGAAATGCTAAAACGAGGATCATCTGCGACATCAACTACTGACAGGAAAGCGATAGCTCATGCGATTTGGCAGCTTCTGTCGCACTTGACGCTAAAGTACGACCTGGCATCGTTTTTCTCGACCCATGGCGGGCTTGATGCTGTACTGGACATCCCGGAAGGCCTATTCTTCGTCGGATACCAGGAACTGACTGGCACGTTGCTCTCGCAGGTTTTAGAATCTCCCGAGGTTCTAGAGCATATGATGGAAGAGAAGATTCGGCGAGCGATCACCAAATTGTCGACGCGATTTGGCGCACCCAGCCAGATGCGTATCACACCGCGCGCGTTGCTGACAGAAGTCGCCCCATTCGCAGCTCGTAATGAAACGGTGTTCCTCAAAGCATTGCAGAATTCGGTACGGGTGAAGAAGACCGAGTCAGGCCGAACATACATTGTGCCTAGACCGAAAAAGGCCGACAGCTCTGAAGCAGCTACAAGACAATCTGCAGGCCAATCTCTGTCGGCGCAAGACAGCGCGGCTAGTGGAACGAGAGCTCCCCATAAGTTTCCGAAGGACCACAAGCATCAGGCCCACGTAATTGTGCACAAGATCATTGGACGCATCCGTCGATTGTGGGAAGTCGAAAAGCATGCCAAGAAGCAGCGCGACGTGCAACAGACATTGAACAACACGTCAGCAGGGATGTGTGTGGGGGTGTATTTGCAGCTACTCGTGCATCTGATCACGTACTTCCCTGCATGCGCGACGGTCCTTGCAAAGGCAAAAGATGAAGTCGATTCGCACAGAGCACGCGAAAGCTTTATTCGCTTGGTGTTGCGCGAGTTTTTGCCTTCGCGTGAGCTTTGCCAGTTTGCTGCGGCTCGTAAGGCGTTGAAGGAGGACGGGTATTATGGTAACAGCAGACTTGGTAGCGGCGATGCAGATCTGCTGGTTGCAGATGTGAAACTATTTGTTGACAGCCGCACAAGGATGCGTGTGCACAACGCACATCGACTACTAGTGAGGATCGGCAGTCATTCTGGAGAAGGCTCAAAGTGTATCATCTTAGAGCTTGTTCATTTGCTTCAAGAGTGGCCACAGAATGGTGCTGTGGATCTGGCGAACGAGAATGACGATCTGAGCGTGCGCGATGAACATGCTTTGAGCTCGTTGCATGCATGGTCAGGCTTGATCATGAGTATCTTGTGGCCAAAGGGATCGTCGAAGGGGTTTGCCTGGGATAAGGTCGTATTGGGTGGGGGTCTCAAGGGCAAACACTCCTTTGTAACACTACTGGCTGAGGCGCTGCGCAAAATCGATTTGACACATCCATTGGCGCACGCTACTTGCACTATGTTGCTTCGCCCACTGTCCACGCTGACGCGTTCTTTTGTGACACATCGCGTGAGACGTCTGCTAAAGAAGCGAAACCACGGTTCATCTGTCTCGGGTGACGCTGCGGAAGGCAGTCAAGCTCTGTCGACAAGCGGTGCAGACTCGCGGACGTCAGTCGCTGCAGGAGCATCTTCAGCTGCAGCTTCGGGTTCTACAGATACTTCTGCCCAGGGTGACATAATGGAAGTGGATATAGACACCCGAGAAGCAGCGAATAGCTCTGGATCAGGCTTTTATCCGCTGCGGGAAGAGGACGATGATGACGTTTCAATGCGATCTCCGTTATCTGCCATGGACGATCATGACATGCACGATGATGACGACGATGAGGACCACAGCGAAGACGACCGCAGTGATCGCAGTAGTGTATCTGATCACTCAACGGATGAAGGAGAAGGCGAAGAAGACGAGGATGATGAGAACGATGACGACGATGAAGATGAAGACGATGATGAAGAGGACGATGATGAAGATGATGATGACGAGGACGAAGAAGAATTTGAGGACCATCACCATCTTCACATCTCTCGTCGTACGGGTGGCCATGGAACGAGTCGCCGTACATCTTCGAATCGACTGTGGGGATCTCTTGACTCGGAGCTTTCGATTTTGGATGCGCTGGATGAAGTTGACGAAGAAGAATTTTCCTACTTGTTCATGCTCGATGATGAGGCGTTCTTTGCTGAAGAACAACGACGTCGCGCTCGCCTCGCGGCAGCTCGAAATGGTACACCGGGTACTAATGTCAACGAGGGGAGCCAGCAATCCAGAAGCTCTGAGGACAGACTGGTAGAGTCTATGCGTGATGCACTCGGTCTGTACAATAGTAACGGTGGCAACGGATCGAGTTCTTCGAGTAGCGGACAGACTCTCGTGCTGACGTTTGGCGACGCAGAAGTCGACGACGATGTCGAGGGCGAAGCTCAAGCAGCTCTCGCTAACACAAGAAGTCGTATGGGCAGTGGCAATGGACTTGCATCGTCTACTAGCTCGCAAAGTCGATTGGGAGGTGGTTCTGGCAGTATGGCGAACTCGCTTCTCCAGTACATTGAAGAGTTGCCAGATATGCTTGATGACGACTTTCTCTTTGAATCATTTGATGCCGGTGGAAGAGGCGATCGATCCCGTCGTGAACGCCAATTGGGACGCACGGGTGGCAACGGTGTGGATCATCTCACTGCAAGCGCTACGACCCATCCGCTGCTGCGCATGAGTGGCCGTGGAGACGCGATTTTATTGGATTCGAACGGATTATTGCGTAACCCTGGCCGGTTTTCGCTGCCTCGCCATTCGTCTCTTCTGCGCGAGCTACAAGAACTGACTGACCAGGTTCAGACGCAACTACCGCTGGGTGGCAGCCGATCCCGGTTAGCATTGAGCCGCGACTTGCTGCAACGCGGTGGCGCAGGAAGCCGTGGACGACCTCCCAGTCGTATCAACCGTCTGTCTGCTGTATCCAATCTGCTAAGTGAGTTCTCGCTGGATATCCCGAACTCCACAATGCCATCTCGCAGCCAACGTATCGGCTTCCGACGAGGTGATCGCGACATTTTTAGTGATGTTTTTGTCGGCGTTGATTTGTCTCGTGGACTTGGTAGTCGTGGTGGCAATGGAATGGGTGGAACCGCCTCCAACCCTGCCATTTGGGGTCCTGGCGGTCTAGGACGTGATGTAGATGTTCGGTCGATGGCTTCCAGACTCGAGCAACAAATCACACGCATTTGCGCCGATGATGATGAGCCAACTGTTGCCCCTGCCACTGGACGAGATGAAACAGCTTCCAGTCACGACGTTGACGATATCATGGAAGATCGTAGTGCTACTGGGACACCGCGAAGTGGAGAGCACACTGCAAGCGACTCTAGAGCTTCTAATGTTGCTGAAGGAAGTGACGCTCAACCGGATGCTTCAGCGAACAGAGATAGGACGGAGAGATCCGAAGCGGCTACAGAAGCTGCTTCTGTCTTGGAGCTTACGAGTACTCTTGGAGAATCGTCGTTGCTACGGTCACCTGAATCTGATGTCGACGTGGATATTGTAGACGCAGACACCGAAACGTTGTCTGAAGGCCGAGACACAACAGTTGGTTCTTCATCAGCTGTGAACTCTGGACGAGGAAGCAGCTTCGAGAGTGCCGCGCCTCCTCCTGCACCGACGTCTCTCGGTTCTACCGCTACATCCACAACGACTACGGCACCTTCGCCTTCGGATTCCATGATGAACTTTACGCTCGATTTATCTGGATTTAGAGCGACATCTTCCCAATCCCCTGCAGCCAGCGATAATACTAGTCGGGCTCGGAATGTCGAAGAAGAGTCGAAGTCAGAGGAACTACCGTCGTCTGAGACACAGCCGTCATCCGGTGACGCTGCTTCGCAAGAGTTGTCGACTGTGTTACTTGGTCAACCGGAAGAGCAGCAGTATCAATGTCCCGAAGGTATGGATGCTGAAGTTTTTGCCTCACTGCCGCCAGACATGCAAGCGGAGATCATCGCGCAGAACGCTCCTGCAGTCACTGAGTCCACAAGCGCGCGCAGTGATACTGCTACAGCAGGAGGAGCTGGTGGTGCCTCGGAAAGTATGTCACAGATGGATCTGGACATGGCCAACTCAAGTTTTGATCGCGAGACGCTCGAGGCCTTGCCTCCGGATATCAGAGCAGAAGTGCTGGAAAATGAACGGCGCGAGCGTGAAGCAGCTGCACGTGCCGAGACTGCGGATACATCACGTGCTCAAGAGATGGATAATGCCTCCTTTGTCGCTTCACTGGCACCAGAATTACGCGAGGAGATCCTGGTTACTTGTGACGATGCGTTCCTGCAGACATTGCCGTCACAGGTTCGTGCTGAAGCCATGGTACTGCGTGAACGCGCGGCTTTCCGCTCCACGTATCGCGAACGCGAGCGTGGAACAGCGGAGCGGGGCGGCGGTGGTGGCGAAGGCGACATGGACGAGCTGTTTAATCGCCCTACCTTGCGACGCATGCTGACTTCTCATAGCCCAGAGAGAGGAAGCGGTCGTCGGCGGTCTCGTATGTATGACGAACTCGGTGGAGGACGTCGTAGTAGTCGTCGTGAATATCGACAAGGAGCTGGCGGCTCCAAGGCTCACAAGGGTTTGCTGCGCGTTGAGAAGGACGAAGATGAGGAAGCTGGTGAGCGAATCTTTGACGATCGCTGCGTGCGCGGTTTGCTCCGTCTACTTTTTATGACCCAGTCCGTCATCCAGAATCGGGTGTTCCAGCGACTGCTTGCCAATATTTGCCTGTACCCGTTGACGCGTTGCAGCGTTCGGCGTAACCTACTGCGAGTAATTTCGTTACCGCTTTCTCAGCCCTTAATTCCTGGAGATGAAAAGGACGATGACGATGACGGCAGCAGCAAGATTGAGTTCCCACCGAGCAGGATGTACGGATGTGGTATCGATGGAAACCATGCCATCGGAGCTTCGGCTGTACCCGCCGAAGTGGTGAACCGCATGCTTCACGTTCTTGTGTCACTAGCCAAGTACAATCCGCGGTTTACGGTGGAAATGCTACAGCCTCATGGCATGCGTCATACATCGAGTGGAAAAGACGATTCCGTGAAAATGGAGACTCAGAAATCCGATGAATGCGGCGTTGCTGTCCTTATCGACTTGTTGTCCCTGCCTGTGGTGTATCGCAACGGTACGAACTTGGATGCGTTGCTGGAGTTACTTGAGTTGGTTCTATCGCCTCTGGAGCGACTGCACAAGCCAAATAAGGAAGATGAGGAGAAGAAGGAAGGCGATGAAGGTGACGCGTCAACTCCGGAGCCTGGCGATGAATGGGTAGCAGTCCCAGCGGTTGAGCTGGACGAGGCGCGTATGGCTGAGATAGTGTCCGTGTTGAGCATGGACCTCTGTACAGTTCAGATGCAGGAGCGCACACTTGCGGTGTTGAAGCTACTGAACCATGTGAGTGGAAACCGCGAGCTTATTATCCGTGCAATAGTTCGCCATGCGAGCACGCTCGCTCACGTTGATCAGTACAATGGAGGAAAGTTACCTGCTGGAGTTACTGGATACGAGTCGTCGGCAGTGCTGCCGTCTGCACAGGATGAACTCAAGCTCCTTCGACTACTTCATTCTTTGTCAGACGTCTGCGAGAGCACGGCGGACTTTGCTGAGTGTTGTCAAACCATCGGTTTGGACCCGCTGTGGGATGCTCTAAGCTTGTCACTGACTGAAGCACGTGCGAAGGGTGGTCTTGACGACCAGGACAGCACTGCTGCTCCTTCAGCTACAGCTTCTTCTGCTGGAACAGAATCCCAGACTGCTGTAGGGGACGACGCAGAAGGAATGGTGATTGAAGGCAAGAGTGCAGGTGCTTCATGTGCGATGGCGGCGCTGTTGGCTCGGTTCCTTCCTCTTGTGGAGGCATTCTTTGTGGTTAATGCTCGAGACGCAGCTTCAATGTCGTTGCGTGTACCTGATTCAAGTGAGCGTGAAGAGGCAGTCGTGGCAGCGCTGCGTGTTGCTGGCTTCGATGGCGCGGGTGCTACAGCACTAATGGAAAACGAGCAAAAGACGTCGCCGAAGAGCGTGCTCAAACGCACGTCGTCGGCACTGTCGTCATTGTCCGAGGCCAGTGAGACCATGAGGCTGGCAAACTTCGTGGAGTCGAACCGTGTGTTGTTGAATCTTCTCGTTCGCGAAAAGCCTGCGTTACTGGATACCTCCTTAGCAGCCTTGATCAAGATCCCTCGCTGCAGAGCTTATCTAGCGTTCGATAACAAGCGTACCTACTTCCACAGCGCCATGAAGCGTCTGCGTCAAGCAGCACTGCGGAATCACGGAGGTGGCAGCTCTTCTGTACGCATCCCGGTACGTCGAGAACACATCTTTGAGGATTCGTACTATGCCTTGAGGATGCGTAGCGGCACTGAGTTGCGACGAAAGCTGCACATTTCCTTCACTGGAGAAGAAGGTATTGACGCTGGTGGAGTGACGCGAGAATGGTATATGATTCTGGCGCGTGAGATGTTCAATCCGAACTACGTGCTGTTCACATCTGCCGCTGACTCGCCAACGTTCCAGCCGAATCCTCTGTCCTACGTAAACAAGGATCACCTCAGCTACTTCGAGTTTGTTGGAAAGGTGCTTGGTAAGGCCGTTGCAGACGGGCAGCTTCTTGATGCTCACTTCACGCGCTCGTTCTACAAGCACATCTTGCAGTTGCCGATTTCGTATCACGACATGGAAGCTATCGACCCGGAATATTATCGCAATCTCCACTCGATCCTAGATAATTCGATTGCGGATCTTGGACTTGAATTAACTTTCTCAGCGGAGCAGTCGAACTTTGGCAAGGTGGAGGTGGTCGACTTGATTCCTAATGGTCGAAATGTTCCCGTGACGGATGAGAACAAGATGGAGTATGTGAAGCTGGTGACTCATCATCGGATGGCTACAGGCATTCGACAGCAGATCGATGCGTTCCTCAAGGGTTTCCACCAACTCGTACCTCCTGAATTAATCGCAATCTTCAACGAGAATGAGCTGGAGTTGTTGATCTCGGGAATGCCTGAGATTGATATCGATGACTTGAAGGCCAACACGGAATATGCCAACTACAAACCCACCGACTCGGTTATCCGCTGGTTCTGGAACGTGTTGTACTCGTTCACTCATGAAGAGCGAGCTCTCTTCCTGCAGTTTGTGACTGGTACGTCTAAGGTGCCTCTGGAAGGCTTCAAGGCTCTGGAGGGAATGCGTGGCACTCAGAAGTTCAACATCCACAAGGCTTTCGGCAACAACAGTGCGTTACCGTCCGCGCATACATGGTGAGTCAACCTCTCGATTACTTTTGCGTTTGCATCAGGTCTAACATTTTGTTTGTTGCTACAGTTTCAACCAACTGGATCTACCTGAGTACGAGAGTGAGGACAAGTTGAAGCAGTGTCTTCTGCTCGCGATCCGTGAGGGATCGGAGGGATTCGGCTTTGGCTAAACAGTAGGTGAATGAATATACATGTTGCATTTGAGGGAAAATCAGCTCAATGAATGAGAACATGGGTACATTGCTGCTGAGCAGAAGCGCTTCTATCATCTATTTGCGCCGCTTGTACTTGGCCTTGGACTTGAAGGAGCTCGAGCCCTTCTTGGCATGTTTCTTGTAGTCCGTGATCTTCTCCTTGAACTCGAACGGGTTGTGTCCAGCATTCGCCTCGCGTTGCTTCCTGGGCTTCGGGGCTGGAGCGCCATCGCTAGTCATGTCAACGTCGAACGCTCCAGTTCCATGGCTGCTACGTGCAGCGCGAGCCTTCTCGCGCTTCAGACGCTTTCGTTCGTGCATCTCGGCGATGGATTCCTCTTCACGCGACCGGGTAGTCTCCTGTTGAGCCTTCTTGGCGCGCTTGGCAGCTCCAGCAACGTGCATCGACGTAAACACCGCACCCTTCTTTCCCTTCTTAGTCGTGCCTTCTTCCTCGTCCCGAGCAGCATCTGCAAGCATCCGCTCCTCGCGCTCACGGATCTCAAACAATCGTCGCTTCTTGTGACTCATAAGTTTCAGTTTCTTGGCGCGCGACATGGTGTCTGCACTCTCGGCTTCTTGTTTCGCAGCCTCCTCCTTGGCACGACGGTCTTCTTCTGCACGTTCGTTCACGTTCTTCTTCTCCTTCTCAGACATGAACCACGTACGGGCAGGTCGCGCGTTGATCTCGTCGCGGTGCTTCAGCAGGTTCGTGGCGCGAGTGGCTTCTTTCTCGGCTTCACGCATGCGCTTCTCGAGTGTTTCTTCGTGCATAACCAGCTTCACGTCCTCTTGCATGCTCTCAATACGAGCTTTCCACTGCGCGATAACGGGGTCGGGCACAGCACGAGACTTGACGAAACCCTTGCAGTGACGTGACACCTGCTTCATTACCAGACGACGAGACTCGCTCGTGAGCGTGACTGCACGACCGTTGCGTCCAGCACGAGCTGTACGACCGACACGATGCACGTATGTGGTAATATCCTTGGGCATCTCGTAGTTGATAACAGCGTGGACGCCGCGCACATCGATACCACGAGCAGCAATGTCCGTACACAGAAGAATGTCCACTGTGCCGTCACGGAACTTCTGAAGCGCCTCCAGACGCTCTCTCTGCTGCAGGTTACCGTGAAGCTCTGCCGCCTTAATGCCAGCAAGTCCGAAGATGATCATCATACGGTGCGCGTGCGACTTGGTCTCCATGAACACAATCGTATTCGAGCGGAACGTACGTGTACACAAAGCCAACAGAATCGCCTCACGGTCATCCTCACGGTTCGGACGAATACGCACGAACTCCTGCACTAAGTGTTTAGCCATGTCGAAGAGCGGGTCAGTGCTGATACGCACGGGACGCTTCATCGACAGATCAATCAGTTGGTCGACCTTCGACGTCATCGTAGCAGAGAACAGCATAGTCTGACGCTGTACGGGACACATGCGGACGAGCTCCAGTACTTCTTCCGTGAAACCCAATTCAAGCAAACGATCAGCTTCATCCAGCACCAAGATCTCCAGATCATCCATGTGGACACTCTTGGAGTTACGAAGGTGATCAATCATACGACCAGGCGTACACACCACAACATCCGGGCGATTGCGCAGCTCTGCTTCTTGAGCTTTCAGAGGCAAACCACCAACAGCCAGCGAGCACGTGATATCCGTGAAACGCGCCAACTGCTCGAGCATCGACTGACACTGCGTCGCCAGTTCACGCACCGGACAAATGATCATCACTCGGGTGGACTGGACACGTCGTGAGCGGAATTGAAGACGCTCCAGAATGGGTAGCAAGAAGGCAGCGGTCTTACCACTACCCGTCTGAGCACTAGCACAGATGTCCTTGCCAGTCAGGGCAATAGGAATCGCACGCTGTTGAATCGGCGTCGGCTTCTCGAATCCGATGTGGGAAATGGCTCGCATGATTGGACGCGACAGCTTCAGGTCGGCAAAAGTTTCAAATTTGGTCTTGGCGAACTCCTGGGCAGCGAAAGGGTCTGCTTCGAAGAACTCCGCCGCTTTCTTCTTCTCCAGCTCATCCACCAACTCCTCGCGAGTCTGTTGGTCCTTCTTGCTGTCCTTGAGAGCAGATTGGAGTCGCTCCTCCTCCACCACGACGTCGTCTTCTTCAACCTGCTCCTTCTCGTTCTCGGACTCCTCCGAGTCAGAGCCCTGCTGCTCCTGGTCACTGTTCTCGTCTTCCTCTTCACTCGTCTCTTCCTTCATATCATCATCACTCTCCTCTTCACTATCACTCTTCTCCTGCTTCTTCTCTTTCTTCACTTTCTTCTTTTTCTTCTTCTCGGCCTCTTTCTCCTTTCGTCGCTTGTCGATTTTAGCCTGAATGGACGTACGCTTAGTGGCTGTGGGAATGCCGCTCTCCATTTTCTCAATACGTGAAATTGCGGCTGTAAAGTCCCATGAACTGCCGCCTGAAGAGTGGAAAGCGCCACCTTCATCGAACTCAAAGTCCTCGTTAATTTGTTGGTCCTGTTGCTGCTTAGCCGCCTCATCCTCCGGGTCCTCCTCGTCCGAGCTTTCCTCGGCGTTGGAAAGCTCATCGTCTGACGCGATGGTCATCACCAGGTCCTCATCCTCCTGCTGTGCCTTCTGTTTCTTAGCCATGGTGGTAGATCTAAAGGCAGCTTGACGGCCAACAATACGCTTCCGCAGTGCGTGACCTCAACAACTTTTGACTGGAGGTCACACGAGACGGGATTTTGGCCAATGATATATGGTGAAATTGAAACCTAATTGGGATTGGTTTAAAATTAATTACTTCGAAGTAAGGTGCCAACAGAGGTATTTAATAGTATATGATCGAACCACTTTCAACTACGCTGGGATGGTGCAATTGAAACATCCTGCTTGAATTTGGTATCGACATGTACGAGCCCGCCTTTCACATATTCAAGACAACATCCACTCAATCCGTTGTCACCAAGGCGAATCTTGCGGTATCAGACTTATTATTCCCACACTGCACGAGACAGTGGCTTGCGCGTGACTTCTTCGTTACCCACCGCTGGCTCGCGCACAACAGGTTCCTGGACATTCACCTTGTGTTGTAGAGTATCCACATGAATGGTCCAGTTGCCAGTTTCGACAACCCAGTTGCCAACTTCGTCGGCGAGCATAAACGCCTTTGCCTCCAGGCAGACCTTTGTCGCAGCTCCCTGTCCTGGAGCAAGCAACGGTGTACGCTCAAATGCAACCAGCGACTTCAATGGACGTCCACCTTCACCAGCGCGAGGAGGTTCAACGAAAACAAGAGTGGCATCTTCTCCCGGGACATCACCCACGTTCGCTGTCGTGATGGTAAATGTCGCCACACAGGCGTGGCTTTTAGTACTCGCGTCGTTGCCGAGCTGCTGCTCGATCATCGCAGCATTCAATTCACTGGGTGGTTCAATCGTCCAATTCTTGCGGAATGTGGTGTACGACAAACCGAAACCAAACTCATAGACTGGCACCCCAGTGAAGAAGCGGTACGTTCTGCCAGGATTTCCCGTCACGAAAGTCGGCCGCATGTGCATGTCGTATATTGACATTGCATTCACATAATCCGCATCGTAAAATGTTTGTGGGAGCCTGCCAGCCGGGTTGTACTTGCCAAACAGCACATCAGCCAAAGCTTGACCACCGGCTTCTCCGAGATATCCACCGAAAACAATCGCGCCAACCTTTGGATGGTTCTTGTAGGCCAACAGATCAACACAACCACCAGAGATGACAACTAGCACGATCGGATGCGATGCAACTTCAAGCACGCGCTTCAGTAGTGCAGTCTGGAAACCTGGTAGATTGAGGTGGTAGCGATCGATCTCCTCTCTTTCTTGGCTCTGGTCGAGGCCCACGAAGACAACAAGGCGATCTGCTTTCTTGGCCACTGCAATAGCGTCATCAAAGTCGGGCAATATTTCACCTGACACTTTGCACCCCAACGAATATGCAACATTTGGTACATATTGAGAGATTTCTTCCAGTGGGGTAACAATATGTGACGGGATACCAAAGTAGTTCCCAAGAAGGGCGGCACTGGCGTTGAAGTGTGGTCCAATCAGCGCAAGTGATCCGTCTTTAGTGAAAGCGTTTGCAGCGAGAGGTAGAGTGCTATCGTCATTCTTGAGCAATACAACGCTCTGGCGAGCAGCTTCTAGTGCAAGTTGTCGATGCGCAGCTGTGTCCACCGAGTCTTTCGTGATATTAGCGAATGGTTGTTCCTTTTCAAACATCCCGAGCCTCATCAACACTCGGAATTGATTTTTCAAGGCATCATGTACCATTTTCGTTGTAACAATTCCCTTCTCCAGAGCCAGCGGAAGGTGTTGACTCAGAAACTCGCCGCAGTTTAAATCCATGCCAGCATCGAGAGTTGTAGCGCACGTTTGTTCCGGTGACTGGGTGTAGTGATGACGGTAGATCACGTCAGCTACAGCCTCGCAATCCGAGACGATGTATCCATCAAACTTCCAATGACCGCGCACCAGGTCAGTCAGGAGGCCTTTGTCAGCGCAAGACGGGATGCCGTTCACAGCATTGTAACTACACATGATAGAGCTCACATGGCCTCGCTTCACACAGTCTTGGAACGCCGGGAAGTAGGTATCAGCTTGGTCTTGCTTGGTAACCATCGCGTTGTTACGATGTCTCGGAACCTCCTGCGAATAAGCAGAGAAGTGTTTGCAGCAGCTTGAGATCTTCAAAAACTTACTCTTCCCGCCTCCTTCACGTCCTTCCATTGCTTCTCCTTGTAAACCTCTCACAAAGGCCACAGCGTACTCCCCATTGAGGTACGGGTCTTCCCCCGGGGTCTCCTGTCCGCGTCCCCATCGCGGGTCACGGAAGATGTTGACATTAGGCGTCCAGAACGTCAGCCCAGCGTCCTTGGCATTGTAGAACGCTCGAGCTTCGGTGGAGATCACGTCTCCGATCTGGTAGAACAGCGAGCGGTTGAACGACGCCGCGGTGCTCAACACCTGTGGGAAGCTGGTGGCGGCAGTAATCGGCCCCTTGAACGTCACTCCGGGGGACAAAGCCACGCCGTGCAGCGCCTCGTTCCACCATTCGTAGCTCGGGATATTAACGCTCGGAGCGGCCGACGCTTTGTTGACCAGGAGCCCAACGGCCTGGTCCATCGGGATTCGATTCACTAGGTCGTCTACGCGAGTGTCTAGAGGCAGCGACGCATCGCAAAACGGCAGCGAAGCGACCTTGGGGTCGCCGCACACATTGTAGGAAGCTGTACAGGTTCCTAGAAACAACAGAAGCCAGCGGAGATGCCACATCGTGGAGGTAGATTGATGAATGAGTGATGGTTTTGACTGGCGAGTGGTTGAAGTTGTCTTTAACTTCTACATCCCTATATAAGAGCAATCGGATAAATCGATACAATCTTTTAGAGGAAGATTTCCTTTGCCTCTTTTCAATCAATTCCGCCGCATTCGGAGGTGACAGCAGCCATGAGTGCGCGGCGTGGATCTCGTCTGCGGCGCAAGCCTACGCCGATCTATCAGGTTGAAGATACGCGCAGCAGTGGCGATGACATGGATATTGAAGCAGAGGAGCAGGACGTGGTTGTAGCCAATGAACAAGGCGAAGAAACCAGGTAAAGCACCCAGTGCGCACAAGAGTGATGGTCGTTGGCGCACTCAACGTTCATTCATCTTGGATTTTGTATGTTCAACTTCTGACACCGTGGCGTGGCCTATGTAGCAGTGAAGACGGAAGGGAAGGCGAGGATGAGGAGTTCACACCTGCCGGAACGAAGGTGAAGAAGTCTACGCGTGCAAGCAAAGCAGCGCGGACGCCCACAACCAGAGCGAGACCCAGTAGACGTAAGCGCTCGCCGTGGAGCCAAACGAGGAGCTTGCGGTCGACTGGAGAGGAGAGCAAGAGGAAGAGAAATGGAGTAACAGCGGAGACGGACGAAGCTGCTGAGACTGCGTATGCCGTCGACCAAGGAGACGACGTAACCTCGTTGTTTGGTGCGTGGATAGGCTTGGCATAAAGAGTCTTTCGTGTCAAGCTGATTTTTTTTACTTGATTTGGAGTATTTAGAGGCGATCAAGGGCGGCAAGGCGTCGCTGGAGAACCTGATGAGCGAATGGCGCGATCGATTCGAAGACGACGACGAAAAGGCCACGAGAGAAGTGCTGAATCTGGTGCTGCAGGTATAAGCGAAGACTTAACAGTATGCTCGCGTGTTGGATCTAACATGGATAACTAACTGCTGTTAGGCTTGCGGAGGAACGGGTAAATGCGTTCCAGAATCGGAGCCATTGGCTCAACTGGATATGGGTGATATGGTTGATCACGTGGTGGAGGATCTCGAGAAGGCGAATGGAGAGTATCCTCTGATGTCTCGTGGAAGAGGCATGAGGAAGTTTCAGCGCAAATTCGAGGAGTTCTGGGAGGTGTTTGTGAAGGAGTGCTACGAGAGCGAGATCTTGTTCACGTCAGAGATTGCGAACAACTTTATCGACTGGCTGACGACCTTGTCAAGGTATGAATGCGGGTAGTAGCACATATATTGCTGTACTTTTACTTACATTTGTAATTGTACGCAGTTCCGAGCTTCGGCCAATTCGACATACGGCCACTGTTGCTGTGCTGGCGTTTAGCAATTCCTTAGTGCGCACTGCGGCAAATATTTCTAAGCAACTAGCAATTGCTATGAGACAACTCAATGCTGAGATGAACTCACCTGGTTCGACACCTGGTGCTGTGAAGAGCCCAAACGCCAGGAAAGTGGCGCTCCTGAAGGACAACAGAGCGTTGTATGAGAATCGGCTGCAGCAGGTGTTGAAGCTGGTTAATTTGGTATTTACTGGGGTTGTGGTGCATCGGTATCGTGACGTTATGCCGGAGATTCGTGTGGTAGCCATACAATGTCTTGGCCATTGGATCACTACGCTTCCTGACCAGTTCCTCAAGGACAGTTTTCTGAAATATCTTGGTTGGCTTCTGAGTGATAAATCGGCATCAGTTCGCTTGGAGGTGGTTGAGATCTTGTGTGAGCTGTACGAAAATGATTCATTCACGGAAAAGTTGGAGCTGTTTACTGCCCGATTTTTGCCGCGCTATCTGGAACTCTGTAACGACGTGGATGAATCTGTCGTCGAGGTGTGCATTCATCTTCTAATCGCCGTTGACAAGCATAACCTCATCAGCTCGGATGTTGAGCTTCAACCTGTCGAAAGATTGGTGTTTGATGCGGAGCACGAAGACATTCGCAAAGCCGCCGCGGAGTTTGTGTGTATTCAGTATGATGCATTTGGAGTTGCTGTCTCTAAAACAAAGAATGCGACATTGAAGAAAGAACAGCTCAACACACAAGCTATTGCCCTCGTAGAGTTTGCGGAGGAATACATCCAGAATTACGGTGTACCAGAGGATGCAGTGGAAACACTCGTGGATGCCTTTTGGGGGCTGGAAGATTGCCGTACGCTAACTTACTTTCAATATCGCTAACTAAACTTTACGGCTAACTATTTGTATGCAGTTGTCCTTCAGAGCTGGAGAGTGATGACAGATCTGCTCCTAGTGGACAAGACTGCGCCAGATCTAAGCAGCGAACAACAGACTATCCTCCTACGTCTCCTTGTTGCATCCATAAGAAAGCTCGTCGGTGATGGCGTCAATCGATCAGCAAGGGCGGCTGCCAAAAGAGAATCAGAGCAACTACAGGTACGTCATGTCGTAAATCATTCGTAGCAATGTCATTAGCATCTCACTAACAGTTGCTTTTGCTATGACGATTTTAGGAAGAAATCACTGTGGCATATTGCAAGGACATCCCTAGCTTGTTCCTTTTGTACCAAGCTGATTCGGACAAGCTGGCATTGCTTTTGGAGTTGATTCCGACGCTAACTCTGAAGAGTGAGGTCATCGGTCACCATAGCGGGCAAGTGAAGGACCTTCTCGAAAAGCTCAAGCACGCATATCTGTTGCACTCTGATGAAGAGTTGCTAACGAGTTTATCGCTATCCATAACCCACTTGCTTCAAACGGAACATGCATCACTGAAACGGGAAGCAGAAGTTATCATGCACGAGCTGATTCAAGTGATTATGGATAAAACTGATCGCCTTCTGGAAGCTGATAGAAAACTATTCGGTGAGTTCGCCATTGCTGCCGATGACACGCCCAAAACGAGGAGCAGCAAGACGAAGGGGAGGAACAAAAAGAGCGCCAAAACCAAGGAAATTTCAGATGTCGAGTATGGTCTGCGGGTCTCTCTGTGCCGAATTAAATGCCTGGCAAAGTACCTCAATATCCGAGAGTATCTTCCTTCTGATCTGTCGTTATCGAAAGTGGATGGGGATGGTCACACGACTGCAACAGATTTGCAGCAAGGGCGAATGGATATACTTGTAGCGGCGGTGGGAGATTTATTGCATCGACGCACACTATTGGCCTCTGAGCTACATGAAGTTTTTCGGCATGTCGACGCCATTAAGCACGGCATGACCATTATATATTTCGATTTGCTGTGGAACACGGCTCCGATTTTCAAAAACGTTGAAGAACACAAAAAGCAAAATACTACCAGCGAAAATACTGAGGCTGAAGTTGATCCGTCGATTCAAAATCAGATCCAGAAAGTGTGCCAAGCGCGATCCACGCTTGAAGGAGCCCTGATTTCTGTGTTAGAGATGCACCTGTCAAGAACAAACGAAACCGCGGACGAAGAACACAAAGAAAGCGAAGAAACACGTGACGAGGAGTACATTATGGAAGAAATTGAGTTCGAAGACGAGGATGTGATTTCATACGTGAAAGATGCCCAACGATTTGCGTTCTTAACGTTTTGCGACCTACGGTGCTTGTTTGTGGAGAAATTCCAGGATGCACCAGCACCATACGATGCGTTGCAATGGACATTACCGAATGTACTCGTTCTTCTCACACAAATGCACTTTGAGCGTGAGATGGATGACGCCGAAGAAGAGGAGCCGGAATTTGAAGACGATATGGTGGAGAATGACCTTGACGTTGCAAAGGACAAAGCACAAGCTCTTCGCGAATGGCAGGAAAAGCAGCAACGAAAAGCTGAGCTGCTGCTCGCGCTTGGCCGCGTGGCGCTGTGTAACCCAAGCAAGAAGTACCAAGCTGCGGCAGTTCTACAGTGTTTCACGTCTAGTGACAAGCCAAGTGTTGAGGTTGTGAAGGCATTTGGCAAGCAAGTGAAGACAGATGCTCCTGTGCGTTATTTGGAAATTCAAATGGCTGCACTTCGTCAATTATTTAATCCGATTCTCGCCTGGAAGCAAGACATTGAAGCAGCTCAAGGGAGCGAAGACATCAATGACGACGATGTTACAGAGCTCAAAGAGAAGGTGGAAAGCAGCGAGCATGAGCTGAAAGAGCTGGCAAAAAGATTTAGCCAATCTCTCGGAGTCGGAAAAGTTCCCTCATCATTACGAGCGCCATTTTTCCGCTTCTTGCGTGAAGGTGTTCGATATGCCCTTGAGCAACCGACTCAGTTTGAGTTCTTGGAGATCATGCGTGTATACTTGTCACGTCTGGACAATGCGAGCATGGCTCAACTGCGCGAGTATTTCCTGGAGCGACTAAAATCGCTACATGATGTCCCTGACAATGAGGATCTGGACTCGCGATGGCGAGCACTGTTCGATTTCCAGGCATCGATCACTTCTAGTGGCACGGCGAATGGAATGAACAAAAACTTGACTAGAACGATGCTCTCGCCTCCGCTGAAAAGTAAACGACGATCTGCTAGCTCTGAACCCACTCCAATGCAAGGAACATCAATTGCAGAGGAGGGCGAAGAAGATAATGCGGAACGCGAGGGTGGTGAAGGTGAGGAAACAGAAAGTGGTGCTGGCGATCAAGGTGAAATGAATAAGACAGGACACGGCGAACAGGTCGATCATAATAATCGACACAGGTCATCAGTACACAAACGCACTGCTAAGGCTGATGAAGATTCCGATTCCATGCCCTCTCGCAAGCGAGCACGACGTGCACGCAATGCTGATGAGGCAGAATCAAGTGATGACGAGCTGTCTGAGGCGAACAACCTTGATCATCAGCTCCAGAATGAGTCGAAGAGCGAGGAAGATGAGCCTAATAATGAAGTGCAGACACATGGGCATACCCAGGACGCTGCTGGCAACGAGGAAGAGGAAGAGAACAGGAGAACTCGGCGGAAACGACGCCGAGCATAAGTAAGGTGGACAAGCCACCAACAGCTTTTTTTTTTTGTCGTAACACGGAGGGTAGTAGTGTATTACTGCGAAAGGTATCAAGGAATGGCATAATGTCTTCAGCAGGCTAAAGAGTTATGTAGCTTGGGCGACATTCTTGGTGGCCTTGCCCATTTCAACACTACGCGTCCTGGCAGCGAAGTTGAGTGTGCAGAAAGTTTCTTCGCAGTTGTAATCGACCGGACTCGCACAAGCCACCATGAGAGTTTTCGAATCGCCACCAAGGGCATCCTGGAGCAGGTATGTCAGCGATGAGTTCCTGTATGGCACGTGCTTCTGCTTACTAGCTCGAGCAGCAATAACGTCTCCGAGTGCCGAGAGTGACTTGTTGATGTTCTGTGCTTCCTTGAGTCGTTGTCCTTCGGCCCCCGTTTTTGAAAGTCGCTCGGAACCAGCTAGATCGACGAGGAAGAGCTTTCCACTGGCGACGACATTGGTGACGATGTTGAGGCTCTTCAGCTGGATGGAGAGGATCGAGTGACTTCGACTACTGTGCTCGTTCATGTCGGTGGCATGCGTACTACGGTTCTTGTTGCCACGTTTGATGAGGTCAAAGACTTCATTCAGAGTTTGTACAGGCACCACCGTCAAGCCCGGAACGAAGTTACCCGTGGGGCCTTGACGCACTTGCAGGTTCGTGTTGGAAGCGTCTTGTGCTAGCAGATCACGGATCTGCTCGTTGTAGATCTCCATGATGCTGACTGTGATTTCATCCTGGTACTCCTTCACACGTTCGCTCTTGCGTTCAAAAAGTTCTTGTAGAGATCTCGTGTTAATGCCTGGGTTCTCTGGGGGCCCCGACATTGTGAACGTTTTACCCGAACCAGTCTGACCGTACGCGAAGATGCAGACACTGTAGCCATCCAGAATACTCGTGACGAGAGGCTTCACCTGCGAGAAGAGCTGGTCTTGCGTCGAGCCCATGTCGAAGACGTGATCGAACTCCCAGGTCTTCACCTTACCTTTCTCTCCGGTAAGCGTGATCTCCTCAGGCATGAACTTGCAGATCATCTTGCTGCCCTGAGCGATTTCATTCTTGGAAATTGGACGCACACGACACAGCACGCGGATGTTGCCCTTGAGCTCCTGCACGAGGTTAAATAGGCGCTTGCGCTCCTTCATCTCGCGCTTGTAGTTGTCCACGACACCGGCCATTGCATCGGCCTGCTTCTGGACACGCTGTAAGATCTTGTCGGTCAGCTGCTTGGTCAGCACTGGAACTTGTTGCTGTTGAGCTGCAACCTGCGACTTCAGTGTCACAAGGTCCGTACGCTGAGCTTTCAATCGCGTGCTCAAATTCACGATCGTTGCTTGCTTGCGTTGCTGTCCCTTAGATGCCACCTCCAGCTTCCGTTTGAGATCCAAGATGGCCTTCTTCGCCTGCTCTTTGATCTTGTTGAGTTCACCCTCCGCTGTCGACTTCAGCTTCGCGTAGCGCTCGTCGGCCGCTGTCTGCTTCGCCTCACTCTCTCGCTTCTGTTGCTCCAGTTGCGTTTGCAACTCAGTGAGACGAGTCTCCAACTCGCGAACTTGTGACTGTAGTTCTGTTTCAAGCTTGGAAGGGCCTCGCGGCGCTGGGACGCTAGGTTCTGGAGTCGTTGCTGCTCGAGCCGAAGCTGCAGCAAGCTCCTTCTCAAGACGCTGGATCTAGAAGAACCAAACAAGACACAAAACGGTTAGGACAGATCCAGATCAACAAGTATCAAAACATCTGCGTACCGTTTTCTGAGCGTTCTGATGTGAAGCCTCAACAGCGGAGAGCTACAATTTGACCGCGCACGATGTTAGCAACACAATCGATCTAAGACGATGCATGTACATCGAACCATCGCGTACCTTGCTCTTTAAGGCCTGCATTTCCTCCGAGTTTGATGGAAGCGAGCTGGAGTTGCTCTCAGGTGTTGGTGGTGCAGGAGGTGGAGAAGCTGCTGCTGCAGCGGCCGCAGAATTAAGTGTGGCTAACTGCTGCTGCATGTCTTTCATCTGGCGCATCAACTGACGCTTCTCTGCTTCCACGCTGTCGAGAGCAGCTTTGTTGACCATATTCTCAGGAATAGATTGCGCTGAAGTGGGTGGTTTGGAGTCATTGCTGGTCTTCGTCGCAGCAGCTTTGAGTGCGCTGTTCTCTTCAATCAAGCGCTCCATTTCGGTCTTCATAGCGTTGATTTCAGCCTCCCCATCGTTGTCCGATGGAGTAGCCGTCGACCGACTTGAAGATACTTTAGCGGAGTCAGGCACATTGTATGACTCGAAGGTCACCCCAGCCTCCTGGAGCTTCCGCTCAAGCTCCTTGATAATGTTGGTCATATCCTCCACCAACGCCTCCTTTTGTTGAATTTTCTTGCTCATGGAGGTCTTGAGGATGGCAGTTTGCGACTTGCTGAGTAGTTGCAGCTTGTTCAGAGATTCTTGGGCTTTTTGTTCTGCATCACGAGCTACTTTCAATTCACGCTGGAGCTCCTTGATGCGTGCTCTGGCTTCACTATCACCTGAAGAGCCATTGCTACGTGAGGAACCAACTCCATTTTCGGCGTCACCGTTGCTCGAGGGAAGCTCTTCTTCATCGGATAAACCCAACTCGTCCTGCAGTTGCTTCCTGCGCATCACATCCTCGTCGTCCTCATCGCCATCCCCTCGACGGCTTCTCTGCTGCGTTCGTTGAGCAAGACGGGGATCATACGTGGCTGGACGAGAAAATGAAGAACTACTGTACCGAGAAGAAGAATAATCCCTCTTGTCATAGTCTCGATCGCGATCGTAGTCGCGGTCTCTGTCTCGACGGTCGCGTGTACGATAGCGATCCTGGTCTCGATCTCGATCTCTGTCGCGATCACGGTACTTGTCACGGTCGCGATCACGGTCTCGATCACGGTCTCGATCACGGTCTCTGTCGCGGTCCTTGTCCCGATCGCGATCTCTGGTGCTGTCCTTATCGCGATCTCTGGTGCTGTCCTTATCGCGACGTCTTTCGCGATCACGATCGCGATCCCGGTCTCGGTCTCGGTCACGACTGCTGCTTGTGTTGCTGCTCGTGCTGCGTTCATCCCAATCGCGTTCACGGTCCTTCGAACGAACTCGCTCGCTATCGCGATAACTGTATCCGTAGTCGTCATTCACTCGATCACCGTCGCGAAAACTTCGATCGCGCTCCATTTCTGACAATGACTCACTTTCAGAGCTGTGGGTTTCTGTCTGCTCAATGCAGTGTGGGTAGCTCAACCGTGGTGGCCTGGAAGACCTGGGAAGTGCCTAGCTGTGGTTTCGCATCTATTTTCACGACGAATGCTCACTGCAGTGTCCAAAAATGCCATCAATCCATGTAGATCAACGGCTATTCATGAGTGGGATGAACATTAAAACGGAGCAAGCAAACAGTAAAATCTATAAACCGATATAAGCGAGGGAGCACTGCATTAGACAGCCAAACCAGGCAATCTGCGCTTTTAGCAGCTTGTGTTGAAGAGCGAGGATAACAACAAATCTACGAAAAGTGAATTTTGTTAGCGTTGAATCGCTCCAGCAGCCTACAGATACAACAACGATGAAACAGTCAGCATCCAGCTCAATAAAAAGCATTCTAACTACCACTAAGCAACCGTACAATAAGAAGTCATCCTGGTCCATCTTGGCTCCGCGTTTTTCGCCAAAGCCCTCAAAGGCCAGCACTTCTTCCACCTTCTTCTTCATGTCAATGTCGCCTTCCGGGAGCTGTCAATACACAACGTGTTAATAAGAAATTTCCAATATAAAACGACAGCTGTCGATTCATACCTCGTTGTTCAGTGAGCAGTACGTCTTGTAGTTCTCCTCCAAGATCTTGAGAACGGACTTCGTGACGAAGCAAGAGTGCAGCGTCTTGTTCTTGCGGTTAAAGATGATCTTGATCATACCATCCCATTCCTATTAATCCACGATAAACGTCAGGTCTCCAACAAGATCTACTGCAAACTTCCAACGTACCGTAAAATTCACAGGAGGCGGCGGGTTGCGCGGCTCGATGCGCACCACACGCGACTCAACCTTGGGAGGAGGACGGAAGTTGTTGCGTCCGACCTTAAGCAGCTGGTCCACCTTGGCCAGCAACTGCGTGTTCACGGACAAACGGCAGTACAGCTCATCTCCAGGTCTGCAGCCAACACAGCAACGTTAGCATCCTACTAGTCACAATTGCAGCAAGTACTGCTGCATACTTGGCGCTGAGTCGCTTGGCGAACTCCTCCTGGAACATGACGACAGCGCAGCGGAACATCGGACGGTGAGCCAGCAGCTTGAACACGAAAGGTGACGAGATCTGGTACGGCAAATTGGCCACGCAGACGTCGAAGAACGGCAACTGCACACGCATGACATCGCCATGGATGATCTGAAGGTGGTTGATGTGCTCCGTGTGCTGAATACGCTTCTGCAGCTCCGCTACCATGCGCGGGTCGAACTCAACGGCGACTACACGCTTGGCTTGTTCCAGCAGCTTCACTGTCAGGTTACCGGTACCGGGACCGACTTCGAGACACACGTCCGTGCCGCGAATGGCCGCCTTGGCCACAATCTGCGTCACGATCATCGGGTTCTTGAGGAAATGCTGGCCCAAGTTCGTGTTAGGTGTGGCCAGCGTGCGGCCCAACGCATTCTGCGACGCCGAGGCGGTGCCAACGTTGCGTGCGCGTTTCTTCTTGTCCTTCGGCATGGCGACAGTGAGGTGTTAGGCAAGAAGTTAAGAAGAGATGCTCGAAATGGTGTTCCTCGTCACAGATTGCTGGTGGCCAGTCGACGTTTCTCTTTATAAGAGCCGTTATACTCTATATAAGAACAATGGGACGCCAATTTCGGACAGAGCCAATATGGACCACTTTAACATCATATAGAGCTCTCGAATGAGGATTTTTGGTACTGCTAGACTGGCAGAGAAAGCAGGAATACATGTAAGAGGAGCGGATACATGTACACAACCCAAGTATGATTGATGAGCATTTTGGTGGAGCACCGTGATGCCTAAATGAGCTGCAGCACATTCGAATTTTGTGTGGAATGATTTGTTTACGAAGTCGCCGGGGTCAACCTATTATACCTCCGTGTGGGATAAATTTGAGCAATGTAGAACACTATCAAAGCTGCTGTAAAAGGAAACCATTGCAGATTCTGGGTGTGCACAAGCAAGGCCTATGTGAGCTCCGCCGACCACGTATCTTGGGGGATGATAGCAACATCTCCTCAGCAGCTTGTATCTGTACGACACTAGAGCTCGAACCTCTCCATCTGAGAGTCATGCTGATGGAGCGCCTGCGGTGGAGCATTGCCACCCAGCTGACTTCGAACCTTACAGATTCGAGTTGCAACAGGTGAAGCAGGCGTGTCATAGCACCGGCGTCAGGCAACGATCGGAACCACGCGATGACGCAGTTTTTGTGGAGTCTTCGGGCATACCAATCAGGCGTCAAGCATCGACGAGGAGTGTTGCAAAATAGTGAAGATCAACGTGCATAGATATACCAATAGGCAGTTCGATAAAATCATGCATCTCATCCAGCGTGTCTATACATGTACCAGGCACCAACAACAGCAGCAAACCCTGTCCAGCAGCATAGAGCGCCTGAATTCACCGCATCAATCTCTTGGATAATGACACACTACTGGCTGCTTCTTTGGCTTGGTTGTGACTACAGGAAATATTGGCAAAGCCAACCAGTTGAAGCCGTTAGTGCACAGATTTTGCGACACTATTTCAACCAATCGCAGGTATGACCATGACCTCTGTCCTGAAACTCCTGTCTCATCACGTTGAAGTGAAACTGAAGAATTACGCGAAGGCGTCACATTCGATTTAAAAGGAATCGTGGGCTAAAGCAAAATCACACGTCCGATTTAATTCAGAGCCTTTGTAAGAGCAAGTTTCTTACATAGGATACTCGTGTTATTCCGGTCTAAATAATGACTTCCTTCATTTCACCCCAAAACCCACCGGGTCACTTCAAGAGCTCATTTAGTGGGCGACAATGCATGCGCGATCCTGATTCCTTCCGCCAGTTGAGAACGCGCCGCCAGAGCCGCAAGCTATATGGCCCGCAAGAACAGGCGCCAACAGCAGCAAGAAGCCACTCCTCCGCCCGCTGCTGAATCCTCGGACAGCAGCAGTTCCGATTCCGCCCCCGAGGTCGCAGCACCTGTCGCCGACCTTCCAGCCCCCATCGCGCCCACGACCCCGTCGACAGACAAGCCGACGCCCAAGCAGCCGAGCCCCAAGCACATACCAAGCCCCACGAAGCAGCCCAGTCCCAAGGCCATAAGCAAGGCAGCCGCCGATATCCTTGAAACCATGAACGGAACCATCCACGTCAAGGTGCTGAGCGCCCGCAACCTGCCGACGATGGACTTTGGCAAGCGCCAAGATCCCTTTGGTAAGCCATGTTGACTAGCTGTTAGTTGCCCACTAGTACTAATTAAGACCACCGCGTGTTATTACTGTCCTGCAGTGCTAGTGCAGCTGGATAGCTCGACTCCCAAGTCTTGGGCTACTACAGACCCAGCTTTCCACGGCGGTACCAATCCGGAGTGGACTGAGAGATCCAACAACGAGCTGGAGCTCTTCTACGACGCCAGTCAGCTCGACAAGGCTGTGCTGACCTTTGAAGTGTACTCGGACGAGTCTGGCGATGAGCTCATTGGCTCTGGTCAGCTCGACGCCAGCTCCATTGTGCAGGCCCAGTCCAAGGAGCCCACCCAGTTCACTGTCCGCCTGAGAGACGTATCGCGTGGCTCTGGCAGCCGCGGAGAGGTCAACGCTGAGGTGTGGTTTGGTCCACCTGTGCGTAAGGCCTTCCGTGCCGCTGGACGCGCCTCCAAGCTTTTGGATGCACGTGATGCTTTTGTGGCTACACTGTGCTCGATTGTATCCACGGTCTGTAACTCGGTGTCGGGCTACTGCCAGCTGCCCACCGACTTTGCCAAGAAGCACCGCAAGCTGAGTATGGCTCTGGCTGCTGTGTTGGGCATCATGGCCGCTGGAGCGCTCACTGTGTTCCTGGCTATTGCTGTACCCACGATGTTGGTGGCGTTCTTCACGTTCCCGTTCTGGATTATCCCGTTCCTCGCCACGTCGTTCTTCACGGCGCCACTGTGGATTCCCATTCTACTGCTCGTCGGACTGTTCCTGCTGTTTATCGCCACGTTCGTCTTCGGACTCGGAGTCACTTCGCGCCCTGTGCGCCGTAAAGGTGCGTTCATCTCGAACAAGATCAAGCACTCGGACGTGGGTAAACGCGTGGTCTACGAGAAGATGGTGTAAGCGTCCACCCCCTAACGTCACGCCATGCGCGTGTCCTCTGTGGACCACGATCTCTTTTCCAGTGTATTGTAGCGTGAGGCTTTCTGATCTATGAGGCAAACACGAGTGTGATGCATGCCAAACCATTTGAAAGTAAAAAAAATAAGAAAAACGTTTTCCCAGTCAATTGTTTGTTGGATTGTTTGTGTTGAACGACACGCTCACATGAACGCTATTGCAGCTTGGCTGGCTTCTCTATAGACGACGTCATATCAGCCCTGCTGTTCTCCTGCTATTCCCTATCGTATAACTTATCGAATAATAATGTAAAAAAGGCTGACGTCGATACATCAACGTCAGTGGCTTGGTCATGAATCTTGGTCGGCAATATTTCTTCTTGATGGTTGCATGTTTTGTCTTCATGGGTGCAAGCAAGCACCTCGTCTTCTAGCATTTTTCTTGGGCGTCATTGGATAAGGAGAAGTGGAAGCACTTGAGCAGCAGCACAGCAGAAAGTGAGCATTGTTGTCAAATTGATCAGCCAGCTGAGCCACTCAGCTTACTGTGCATGCACAGCAGTCTTACGATGAGTCGGACCACGGGTGCTTGTGCTCTTCTTGGTGTTGTGCAGACGCTGCATCTTCTCGAACTCCGTCATGACATGCTCCAATTGGGTCTGACGCACATTCACTTGTTCCTCCAAGTGCATCACTTGCTTCTCCTTTCCTTCCAAGAACTCAATGAGGTCGCGCATCTTGCCTTGCTTCTCCTTCAACGACGTCACGAGACGGTCGTTCTCAGTCTGAATACGAGACATGTTCACATTGGCCTCCGTCAGACGTGTAGCCATCGACTTGAACTTGGTCTTGAGCAGCAACGTCTCGCGCGATTTCTTCGCCACTCGAGCCTCCAGTCCAGTCACTTCACGCTCCATGGACGCCAGAGCGGCCTTGAGTTCATCAATCATCTCTTGCTTCTCCGCTACACTCTTGAACAGGAACATATCCATATCGAGGTGGAGATCGCTAGCGAGAGCAGTAATGCTCGACTGCTCTGTACTCTCCAGCTGCTGCACGACCTTCTTGGCGATCTCATCAACAAGTTTCTGCTTTGTCGACAGCTGGAAGTTGAGACGGCAAATCTCTCGATCCTTCTCCATCACCGTGTTTTTAAGTCTAGCAACCTCCGAATCAGGAGCGCTATCGGCACCCTCAGGCAACTCAGCTCCGTTCTCCAGGAGTTTGGCGATTTGCGAGTCCTTCTCTTCCAGATCATGTTGAAGACTCGACACCAGCTTCGCCTTGTTTTCTAGTTCACTCTGGAACGCAGCTTCAGCTTCACGACGGAAGCTTTCTTGCATACTCACAGCCTCCTCACTCAACTCGAGACGTCTCTTCAACTCCTCGACGTTCTTGTCAGCAGCAGAGCCCATAAGTCGGACATTCTCCGTCTTGATCTTCAAGTTCTCATGGATCAGTTCGTCCACATGAGCACGCAGTTCGTTAATAAACTGCTCGTCTTCATAAAACTGTGCAGATGCATCGCCGTTCTGCTGCTCCTTCAAGTGGTACTCCACCAGTTTGGCTACACGAGCCTGGTTCACCGGATCAATGAGCCACTTGAAGTTCTCATTGTGCTCCATGATACCGTACAAAACCTCCATCACCACCTCTGTCGAGTTGGCAGTCAGACGAGATGAGGACTCGGCGGTGGGCTCTCCCTCTTCAGCTGAATAGTAATCTTCAGCGCCACTTTGAGAGTCTAGCTCCATGGCGTTAAGACGCGCGTCAGAGTGGGTTGAACGCTGATAAGTCACTACTCTGGACACGGGAGATTGCTGCTCCACGTCGTCTGCGATGCTTCGGAACGGCACAGACTCGTCATTGTCGTCGTCTGATGGCGTCCAGTCCATCGACTCAAAGGACGGAGTGCGGTCAGAAACCGAGCGATTGTAGCGACGCATCGTCTCGGAAGAGACCGAGTACTCGTCGTACATGTCGTCGTAGTATGAAGCCATAGTGGACGTCGAGGATGCCGAGAGATCCACAGTGTTGGGCGAGGCAGAGCGATCCACTAGCTTGTATGGCGACGCAGCGCGAACAGCGCGTGGAGTCTTCAGTTGAGGGGAAATAGAGCGACGCGTGTGGTACTGGAACGACTTGAGAGGATTCACCATCACTGCTTCCTCGCTCACTTCGACGGCTACTGCTACAGTCGTAGGGGTCGTAGGGCGGTAGTACACCACCGAGTCCGTGGGGTCCATAGAGACGGATTTCTTGTTCTGTAAGGACGAGATCCACTCGCCCATAGACTCACGCTTGGGCTTGTGCTGGCGCTCAATGGACGGGAACAGACACGAGGCACTGAGGTCGTGGTTGTGGCTGCTCTTGGTCTCTGTGTCGAATGAGAGTTTGCGGCGCTTGGAGACGCCCTCTGTGGCCTCGCTCTCTCCAGCGAACACATGCTCTTTGAGCTTCTTGGCCGTCTTGTTGACTTCATGTGACGTCGACGAGTTGAGCTTCTGTTGCGCTTTCTTCATCTTCTTCTGCTGCTTGCGAAATCGCGCGATCTGGCGGCCATGAGTCTCCAAGGCATCCACGAGCTCGCTATCCTTGAGTACGTTCTTGTCCCGCTTGCAGGCACCACTTAGCGCGGCCACAAGGCGCAGCAGCTCGTCGCGCTTGGTGTCCATAGTCGAGTCGGGAAGTGCCCTGCGACGTGTGTAGGTCCTTCTAATAGGCAGCTACAGACGCAGGCGGACCGTCAACCGTCTCTACTTGCTCCTCCCTTCTCGACGTTTCACGGAGTGGACAGAAGGCAGAGAAGTCGACGGGATTACGTCGAGATGTGTACCCAAGTCAGTGCCTACAGTCCAGACGGCAGTGCCTGCCGCTCGCTGCCTTCACCTCCTCGCTTCTCCCCGCCTACCTTAACGCTTGCTCCGTCGAGGGCAGCCGAAACCGAACGCGTCTGCTCGGGAGGAAGAAAGGGATACTGACCGCTCCTGCCATCGATTCAGCGCCGTCCTACCATCGCTAGGCACTGAACCGTAGGACGCAACTGCAACTTCTGCCCAGCTGCGACATAACGACGTTTCGCCAAAATCATTCCCGCCATAATGGAACTCGAATCTGGCACAGCCGCAGAAGATCTCAACGACCTCGACGCATGGAGGTCTCCTTGACACAGGAACTCGCCGCGAACACGGACATATAGTTTAGAATGACGGCCACTGAGTGGCGTCGATGGCATCAATCAAGCGTAGCGAAGAGGATCTTACAATCTTGTGATAAGGATAGCTACCCATTTGTACTACATCTAACTGGCTTGCTCCACATTCTGGATAGCAGATTCCAAACTTGCTCCACATTCCGAGTGGGGGGGGGTTGGAATCTGCACTCAGCGTTGGTCACATCAACTGCCAGCACCATACAGCCTCGACTGCCGCCATCCACTTGTTTCGAACTCATTTGTTAGCTTCGCAGTCTGTGGCCTGTCTTCATGCATCAAGTGCCAGTAATACGAACGGTTAAGTGTGTATGGTGCATTGAGTAATTACACGCACTAACAGCTAAATAATTTCATGGCGCTTGGTCAACGCCCGCCTGCCATACCGACCCTAAACTGCATTCTGACTACACGTTTCGGTGGCGTTTTTTTCATCGTTTTCTTCGTACCAGCATGTCTTCTGCCAATGTTGCAGCTACTGGTGGGCAACGTACTGCTCGAAGGTACGCACGAGCTCCGAGAAAGATGGACGCAGACTGGGTTCCCTCATCCAGCAAGACCGAATCAGTCGCGCGAAGAAGCGCGGGCACGAGCGCGGGATCGGCGGACGCAGGTCGTGATTGAGTACACCCAATGCCACCTGAATCTGGGTCATACCGTCATACGGGCATTGCCCGGCAAAGATTTCCCATACTACCACGCCGAACGAGAACACGTCTGCTTTCTCTGTGTACTTGCGGTTGCCTAGCACTTCTGGTCTGTAACAGTAGCAAAAAAAAATCATGTGAGTGTCTTTTCAAGATCCAAAAAGACAAAAGTTGCAGCCAACGTACGCCATCCACTGGACAGTGCCGCAGTTACCAGTCATGGTCTGAATCTGCGCCTTGACGCGCGACAGACCAAAGTCCGAGATCTTGATCGAGTAGTCGCGCTCGACAAGCAGGTTGGGGCTCTTCATGTCTCGATGCAGGATCGGCAGCTCAAATTGGTGCAGGTAGCTCATGCCACGAGCTGTGTCCAGTACGAACCGTGCACGCATCTCGTCCGTGAGCTGTCGTCGTCGTGTGCGCAGTATCGCCCAGAGTGAGCCTTGTTCCACTAGCTCGATGACTAATGCACGGTTCGCGGGGGCCAGACACGCCCCGAGCAGCATGCAGATGTTCGGGTGGTGCAAGAAGCTCATGATCTTCACTTCCGTCTCGAACTCCCGCACCACGTCGGCACTCAGATTCTGTCGGATCAGCACCTTGACAGCCACGTCTCGACCTTTCCAGGAAGCCTTGAACACTTTACCGAACGCTCCTTCCCCGATCACACGGCCAATGACCACGTCTGCCATGTCGACGTTCTGATGTGGCTTGAGGAACTGATGATTCTCCTTGTTGTCGGAGCAGTCACTGGATACCGACCCCGACTCCGATTCTGGTTCTCGTGTCATGATGACGTTGGTCTGTCGACGACGAGTAGAGTCCTTGTTGGGGGCGAACCAGTCTGATAAGTAGAGCGGAATGCCGGCCTGTCGAGCACCCTCCAGTCTCATCGAGTTGTTGCTGCCTTCGTCGGCCATACAGGACATGGGTGCATCACTGTCGAGGTCCATGAGACCACGGAGACTGTCGTAGTAGCCGCCGCCACCCTCTTGGCCCAACTGTCTGGCAAGAGCCGCCATGGCAGCGTCTGCCTCGGCATGGCGTTGCTTCTGCTTAAGGTTCTTCTTGCCTGGGCGGCGCTGCATTAGCGGCGTATCGATGTCCGCCGTCAGCTCTGCAGCCCTCACTTGGGTGGGCGAGTGTGCTTTGCCGTGGATGTAGTCGAGCTCCATCTTTTGCGTGCGGATGGGAGACCCACACAAGTGAAAGAAACCGCGGCGGTCTCCGAGACTACCACGTCGTCTGGACGCGGACGCCATGAGCAGCGCAGGAGTGCAGGTAGCTGTGCTTGGGAGCTACAGGGCAGGAAGCGAAGTGAACCGTTTGGAGGCTTTAGATTTTTCGAGCTCCTGAATCGAAACGGTGCGTTCGACGGTCTTCGCTAAGTTGACATCCGTTATCTCACAAGTTGATTGAGAGCGCTGAGACACTTGATGTTTGTAAGCAGTTGATGAAAGGCCGCTGAGAAAAACACGTGTTCGCCTAAGTTGCACCGTTCGTACAAGTTCCTCTCAGATAGCTAACTTCAACGTGATTGAGTTCGTATTCCAACCCCCCGTCATATGGACATATGGACCGTCCTGCCAGCTGCGCTGCGCTGGAACAATTTCAAGGCCGAGATGGGGGAGCAGCTAACAACATGAGCAGCAAGCACTGTTTGTCGCTGCAGTCTTCTTTGCTCTTGGAAATCATCACTTCTGTTGACTCGCTCGAAATCCGAAGTCATCAAGCATCCGCCGCTCGATTCCGACCGCAGCTTGATAGTTCGAGTCGCCGTTGGGTGGCGACGCTGGACCATTCACATCAAGTGTCGGCGTGCATCCATCGACAAGATCGTGTAGCTCATTACCATCTCGACTGAAATTTCACCTCGAATCTCATATGGGGCTAGTGTCGAGCACATGTAGCCAGCTGGACAACTAAGGCTCCATCAGTAGACGTTCCACCACGATGCCCATCAAGCCCAGGTATCGTATAAGATATCTGTTGCTTCTCTGCGAGATGTGGGTGTCTCGAGCCAATGGAGAAGCAAGTTGGCAGAGATCACGTTGCGACTTGCTTGCTCCATGCACTATTTCGAGCTGGTTGTGTCGGTTGCAGCGACTTAAAGTCCATCCTTCATGGAGCGCATGCAAATGCTTCAAGTCGCTGATATTGGAACGGCGTCGCTGTCCTTTTCGCCTTCATTGTGCTTCCTTTTGCGTTCGAGGGCATGCATGCATTGGCGGTGTTCTGAGCTGTGTTCAGCTGCAATGTGGCATGTCCACAGTCGCGAGCTTTCGATCATCAAATGGCTGGATCTATAGTTGTTTGGGTAATCTGCAAAGCACATTGGAAGCGAATACAGTGCAGGCAGCACGGTGCAGCACTCGCTGCTTTGCAAAGATCTATTGCGTCTTCGGCAGCGGGGTCGAGGCAGCATGCCCCTTGATTGCTCCGATCAAGCACTGGGACGCACATGCATTTCGTCATCGGCGAGTACGACATCGACGCAAAACACCGGCATTATAATAGCTTTGGCGTAGTCAGCTTAGTATCGCATTGCTATTTTAGCTACCTGTATCCACTTTAGAATAAGAATGCATGCACCTTCAACAGACTCATATATCGCTTGTGAGACTGAGACACGATAAACGCTAGATTTCCGGGTGCAGGCAACACAACCAGGTCAAAGGTGTAAACTAGAAGCAAATGACTTGGTGCTGCTCGAAGTGAAGCGACGATTTCCTCGGCAACGATGTCTCCGCAAACGAACAACACTCACATGCAACTGTGCTCCCTCGCCTCGTCTACCAAGTCGGCTAGAAAAATTTAAGCTCGACAAGAAGGCAAAGTTCCACCAAAATGCAGTCAGCCCATCGATGCGGGGACATGAAAACTCTTGTACTCTGCTTGGCATTGGGTGCTCGGATGAAACGCATGAAAAACATAGGTTACTGAGAGCCGACATGGCCGACTTTGTCCATCCTACGAAGGGTAAGCTTCAACGTGAAGGCGATACGATAATGGGCGCGCCGTAATAGTCTAGCAGGTGGGTCCTTCACGGTAGCTCTTCGGCAGTGTTCCGCATTGCCCGCATTCACTGCACATTTTACTACAGAACAGGCACTTGGTCGCTTTGTTCCCGTTGCGTTGGGTGAGGCAGCTGCCCTCCTTTGGATCATCCAATCTCGGTCAGCGCTTGATCGATCACCGAGACACCTACTTGTTGAAGTCGTTGAAGCTGTCCTGCGGGCATCTCGAGAGTTGCCTTGATAAACGCAGCGCTCGTTGGACAGGCTGTCCAGGACACTACGAGCTTGATTCCGTAGCGATTTCCCGGTTGCAAATCTGCACTAAGCTAAACCCGGAATTCAGACTGCGACATCAGCCTCGACTCCGGCGTCTCCGTAATCGTACTGTAGCTCCAGCAAAATGGCCATCGATCAGTCTTCATTCGTGTATCGGATCATCTTATTTTTCTTAAAGCTGGAATATGTTGAAAAGAAAAATAAGAGGAATCGATATACACGGCAGGGATATGGCGTTCATCTCAGCACGCACTCTTCAACTCGTGATACATTATTCGGACTCGCATAACAAGTACTACAGCTGCCCAGTGGCAACTGCAACAGCTACTCCATTTCTTCGTTCACCTTCCGCTATCACTACAGCACGCTCTGATCGCTGATTTGCAACAGAGGTAGGCAGACATCCGTAAATTCTCAGCCTCTAAGTACGGCAGCAGCCCCACGCCATCCGCATTCGCAGGAACGAACTGTCCTCCACTACCTCAACCTGCGACGCCGGCTGGAATCCAACCGACTGGAACAACTTCATCGCCGCGAACGAGTTGTTTTGCGGCACATATGCGACTAGAGCTTCCGGATGTGTAGGCTGGTTCGCGTAGATAGCCTCAATGTCCTGCAACACAACACAACAGCATTCACTGTGAGCCTGCGAGCTAGCTCAATGCGCGACTACCAAGGTTCTCACCTCGACGACTGCGCGGAGGAACCTCCTTGCATATCCCTGCCGCCGCTTGGGCTCCACGATACCGAAATGCTCGATAATGGCCACTTGGCTACCGTTCTCCTCCGAGGCAGGCCTCCATCGTGCGACACCCATAGGTCCATCGCCAACTAGATCCAAGTCCGACGCAATAGCACTTCATTAGCATCTCTACCACCAGCATCCACTTGAGACACAAAAGGCTTCCGCACCAAACGAAACCAAATGCCGCGACATTGGGTCGTCCGGAAGAACTTTGGCCATATTGGGGAAGATTCTCTCCCTCAAGATCTTGATAAATGTCCACAATGCCAGATTAGCGCGCTCCAGAGCTGCAACTGTGCCAGCGACAGACTCGTCCTGCCCCTGGCAGTCGAACCGCTGCACCGTAAACTCAAACGCCGTAAACGCCATCTATCTCATTGCCAAACCGAGAAGAAGTCAGCATAATTATCGTATGAACATTGCGTCTACTGGAATATAATGGATTTTCACCTTGAAGCACCTGTACGTGCGGCTTTTGCCGGTGTGACCGCAAATGGGGCACTTGACGCCCTGTATCAAGCAGAAACCCCACAGTTTAGCCACGAGTTCGCATCAAAATCCAGCGTTCAACCCCTCGAAATGCAGCTCGTGATCTCTGCTTTCTATTCCGCCCCAACTTCTGCGACGTACTTGTTCGTGGTCGTGTCCACAGACGCCGCAACGTTGGGCCATGCTATCGTCCTTTGTCTCCATCTCGGTTCAGGATAAGTCAAACTCCATCTTGTCATCTGATCGAGTTTAGCGGGTTTTGCGTACCGATAAATCGGTACGCCTCAGTTAATTATCCATTCACCAAACGTTATGATGCCGCTCGATGCGGCGGAGACGCGACGAATATCTGCGCAGTTAGCGATGCTAGAGCAGCAGCGCGCGCATGGAAATCTGCCACATGAAGACACGCCACTTCGGCTGTACAGAATGCGCACTGGCGGCTTCGTACGCGTGTTGGATCAGCACCCAGAGCCAATCTCGCAGGACTTGGTATGCTCCGAATTATTCGCAACATTAACCGCTTTTTTTTGCTAATCTAACACTGCGGTTTGATTCAGCTGGATACTATTGACGCGTTTATTAGGAGAAGCGCCGATAGCGAAGAGTTAGAAGATAAGGAGGCTGTTGCAGAGGAGGAAAAAGAGGAGACACGACAAGATAATGCCTACAAAGAGGCTGAGGTTGCAGAACAGAGCACAGTAAGTCAAGGAAAGAAAGAAGTGGCTAATGAGGATGCTGTTGCTGCTGGCGAAGATGTTGCAACGGCAATTGCCACTGTAGCAACGGGCGTGGACGACGACGACGTTGAAAAAACTCAGCCGTGTACTTCAGATAATGTGGACATAGCGCCTCCGTGGGAAGATGCAGGTGCTACAAATACTCCACAGGAGCTATTGGCTCGAAATGAACGAGTAAGTGAATGGCTGGGTAAGCAGACCAAGGTGGAGGGACAGACAACAGAGTTGCACTTGGACATTGCGCAGCCAAACGAATGTCCGGTGGAACCGGTTGAAAACGAACAGGGAAAGACTGTGGATCACCCGACGCTGTATGAACAATGGCCGCCGCAGCTTGAAGAGCGACGCAAGATGTGGTTTATTCCTCGAAATTCTGGCAGGAAGACGAGTGTCGTTGGAGCAAAACATCAGCCTGTCGTCTACTGGATGCACAACACACTGCGAGTGATGCAGGGGAATTTCGGCCTGGAAGTGGCTATTTTACTCTCACGACGACTGTCTGCCCCATTGGTAGTTCTATCCTTGATACAGTCGTCCATTATCTACCCAGTTTGCCACTCAGCCACAGCGAGCGATGCATACGCGAGGTTCTCACTGGTTGAGTTGTATCAGCAATTCTTACACGCTGGAGTGCCTTTCTTCGGGATCACAGCCAAAGAGGATGAAGGTTTAAAAGCCTCAGGTGACCAGCAATCTTTCGCATTGAAGCCCAATCCACTGTACGAATTGCTGGATGCGTTCGAGCCGCACGCGGTAGTAACAGACGCCATGTTTGACTCTCCAGGCAGGAACGATCTCATACGTTTGGCTCGTTATTTAGAGCTGAATCGCTCGTCTTGCTCATGGTCACTCCTTTCTATGGACTCTACAACCTGCTGCCCCGCCTATCAACTCTCCATGAAGCTGCAAGGATCATTCGAGCGTGGTGCTGGTTTCGCTAGTGAAGAGCAGTTTGCGGCCGAGTATGCATCATTTGCTCAGCCTCGTCATGGAACGTATGTATTCAGTTCCTTGCCGCGTGTTGTTCAAGATCCAGCGCTAAATCGGCGACGATCAAAGATGCTGTCCTCCGTGTTGCAGCGACTACACTTGGAAGAAGTAAACTGGCACATCGTGAAGGCAGAAAATGCGCAATCCGGCACTCAGATGCGACGATTCAGTGAAGGAGAGGGACTCCAGAAGCTGAGCCAGCTTTTGTCAGGTTCGGATGGTCAACCAGCTATTCAAGCGGAGTTACGTGGTGGAGGAGTTCTGAGTCTGTTGCCATTCATCCGTCATGGTACGCTGTTTGCCGGCTACGTACTGCTGCGACTAAGCGAAGCAATCGCTTCTTGCCCAACACCTACAACTCCACAGGAACGAAAGGCGCTTGCTATGCGGAAGGTAAGTGCTGGAAGTGTTATGCTGTGTTATCGAGCTTTGGCTTAATAATATTTTTCTTGCCACAACGACAGGTTATGAGATCTCGCGCGGTGAACCACTTGGGCAGAGAGCGCGACTACGTTTTGTATCTAGCTCTGTGGGCTGCGGCGAATTGTGAATCAAAAGATTCAGCTCAACCGGATATGGCGTCGCTCTCGACCAGCGAAGTCATTGCAAGCCTGAACATGTCAGCACCGCGCACATCGTCGTTGTAAGTTGCGTTGAGCTCTTCTGTACTGCAGTTTTGCTATAGTGGGTAAGGTGACTAAGCTGTATTTCGTCGCTTTCAGGATGACATACCAGAAGGTCTTGCCTCCTTGGGCATTCAGCGCTGCTAGAATCGGTGCTATCTCTAATGGACAAGTACCAGGCGCTGCTCTCTACGACCCATACGAGTTGGAAAGTGCAAGGACAAAAGATCCATATTGGAACGAGATCCAAAAGTTTTCTGTGGAGCAGCAGTACCTTCACCCCCTACTAGTCGTCTATTGGGCTTATCGATTGATGACTTGGAATGTGTCCAGTCGAGCAGCTATTGCGGTACGCTCAGCGACTAAATGCCTTTACTGATCTGTATCTAATTATTTTCTTTGTGCAGACAATCGATTCTCTCATTTCGCAGTGTGCGCTCGGATCTGACAGATCTCCTGATGCTGTGTTTATCGTATGGAAGCAGCTATTTCGCCTTGGATCGAACAATAGTGCGATCAACGCGAATAGCGAAACGAAAACTCCCAATCTAGATGATCTCCGAGAGTTCCAACGTATTCTGGAGAGCGAAATCGCGTCCCAACCACAACTACAGCTACGTCCATGATCGAGAAGACAATGCAATTGGCAATTATTTAATAGCTCCTTGTGATAATAGTCGTGAAAATGTGATTGACGTGGCGATACGGTCGAATGCTAGTGCTTTAGCTTCAATGTCCAGCACAGGACCATTTCACCTGGCAGTTATTCACTCGAGTCTGCGAACTGATAGAGAGCCACTTGCACTGACAAGCGTACGCAGCAAAATCTACATCGACCCGTCAGTAGTTGGCACTGAAAACGTCATGTAGCAAGCCTCACCTGGAGCGATTTCCATTTTAACTCGAAGTTTTGTCTCGTTTGGCACATTCTCGCGAAAGAACATGTAGTCGGCACTGGCATCCCATTTCCTATCGTAGCGTGAAACGGTGGGTTTGGTGCATCATGCTAAAAGTTTTTCTAGTCGTGACTTACTTGCCGGGAAATTGCACAACAGTGAAGTCACACTCGTTACATCGGAGATTAGTACATGCTCTAGGAAAGATAGAAGCGTTAGAATTTACTAAATCTTCGTGAAAACAAAGTCATACCGTAACGAGAATGCGGTACTAAGGCCACGACTGGCACGCCCTCCATCCATCAGCACTTGGGAACATCTACAAGACAACAAAGTGGATCGAGTTAGCAACGAGTAAAATACAAGAATGAAATATGGATTGGACTTTTTAGTGCCGCCAGCTTGAAACTCGTTCCGTGAGGGTGAGTTGTATGCACCTGCTCTCGGTGATGACATCGGTCTCGGATGAACGGCAGCAGGTTTACTGTCTTCATCTCCGAGCATGTCTAATAGATCGTCAAGTTCATTTTTACTCTGTTCGAGTAATTAATAACAAAATTGCAGGCAGCAAGAGCATTTATGACAAAACGTACCCGGTCCTTGCTAGCAGGCTGAGTAATTCTGGCGGAGCTTTCCGATTCGTTGGAGTACTTGACTCCTGAAGAATGACCTCCCGTCCCGCCTCCCCCAGATCCTGGGCTTTTCATCGCGTCCTCGACCTCATTAAGTAGATCCTGGAAGTTCATGTTCCTCACGCTTCAAGCAGCACCAAGTCGTTACTACGATAAGCCCACGACCCAATCTATCCTTAGCTTATCTCCTGGCCGCGAATTAATAGGGAAATAGAATACATGTCATGTTTATCATACCAAGACTATACTTGTCGATTCAACGGGTGCCGAAGATGCGGGCTGGGCGAGCTTGTCAGTGGCAGTGTCTTCAAACTCGTCCACATTGAATCCTTCGATGAGCTTTTTCCAGCCGAACGAGGCGATCGAAAACAATGCGAACAGCGGTCTGAACAAGCAGCAACCACAGTGAGTATCACATCTATAGTACTTTGCGATATCATAACTAAAACATTACCGTGCATACCTTGTAATGAGATCGAACCATCCGCTCTGCGGGGCAGCGCCGTTCACATAACGAATGTACAGGAACGCATCGTGCCGCACTCCGTCAATCATGTAGTAATCTGCAGCAACAGCCTCCGATGTTAGAAACCAAAACCTGGTCATTCCTCCCTCTACCTCTATCCATACCTTGTAAATACCGCAGGTTCTGGAATCCGTTCTTCTCGTAAAAATGTCTGGCACTCAAATTATCAGCTTTCACATGGAGATAAACCGCTCCACACTGCGGTTGGCGACAGGCTTGAGCTATGCATTCCTGCAGCAGCTCTGACGCGATACCCATTCTTCTGACCGACGACCGAGTGCCCAGTGTCAAGATGTACATTACATGAGTATGTTCCCAGTCATCCGGAGAGATCAAGTCTGGGTCGTCCACTTTGCTCAGCGGTAGTGTACTGGCCGTCACAGCGCCAAGAATATTTTCATCTCGTCGGTCTTCCAGATTGGGTTGGACTGGTATCTCCACTGCCAGACGAGCGAATAGAGGACCGCCCGTCTCCATCCACATGCCCTGAGCCGCACCGTCGTAGAACGCCTGGTTGTAGCGGATGGGGAACCATTCCTCATGCAGAGCTCGCACTTGTGGGATGTCCCACGAGTTCAAGTCGCGGAAGTAGATGACGCGCTCGGGTGTTGAAGTTGCCGCCTGCACCTTGACGGTGCCCAAGTCGTCCAGTTCGTGGTCGATCTCTAGCGCCACGACGCGCGGGATCAACTCGTCCACGGCGTCGACGCTCGCCATCTTTTTCCCAGCAGCCCAATTTGTCCGAAAATGTCACGTCTTTCTTGGATTATGAGAATACTTATTTTAGGCCTTTATGCGAAAAACAGATCAGTTCATCTCGCGAAATGTAAAGCTCTTGAAACTGTCAGACTTGATCATCAGTGTTTTAGGTCTATTTTTTGAAGAAAGAGGCGATGGTTTTCAATCGCTTCCCACCACTTTGTGTGACGTGTGAGACTGTGCTAGTCGCGCTTGAAGTGGCCTTTGCCTTCTTGCTGGTGGCTTTGTCGGGATGTAACACACGTTGCAGGATCTTTTTAACGCCAGTCGTGATGCCTCGTTGCTTCATCTCTGCGACTGTCATCCAGCGCAGCTCGTCGGACTCAGCACCAGGCAGCAGCTCAGGCTGAGACTTGAAATGCACGTGCTCGACGCCCATGTGGTGCTTCACGTGCGAGAAAATGTGTGTGAGCTCACCGAGATCGCGTCGCTCAGGGGCAGACTTGTCGAGTCGAGAGAGCGCTGTCTCGCTGAATATGTCCGTGAGCCGGGAGTCCATGAACGATTTCCGCTTGGAAAATGGCGGGATCTTGTCGCTATCGCTCATCTGTGCAGCACATCAAATGTTAACACAGCGTCACGTATTCAGCGTAGGCTAATTAACAACGCACCTTGCTGTGGAGGAACTCCCATTGTCCTGCGAGTAGTCCACCCTCAGGACGTTTAGACATTAGAAACCTCCAGTCGGATGAAGCTTCGGCCTCGACACTCTTTGAAGCTTTACGCTTCCTTCTCGGTGCTGTTGTCTCTTCCGTCGGTGAACCACACGGAGCGGAGACTACAGCAACGGCGATCGTCTCATTCTTCGAGTCGTTCTTCTTCGCCTTCAGAGGATATTTGGTGACCTGTTGAGTACAAGGAGTTAGATACTGGAATGTCAACATGAATCCAGTCGAGCTCACCTCGGTGTGAGACTCATCCCACTCCGTAACACGTGTGTAGTCACAAATTGAGCACGAATTACTTGACTCAGTCGACTCAACTAAAGTACTCTCAGTCCTAGACTTGACTGTATTTGCCTCTTCGTACGCGAGGCACACTGACCTGACAGGGCAATCTGAGCATCGAGGGTTCTGCAATAGCAAATATGACACGTGAGCTTTTACGAAATTAGAGCTACCGCGGTAATGCTCATCCGGTACCTGGACTGTGCACATTGTCGCCCCAAGCTCCATCAACGCCTGGTTCAGAGCGCCTGGGCGGTTGCATTCGCCTACGAAGTCCTTTGCCGCTCTCCATGAAAAATTGATCAGTTGCTTGTTTTTCGGATCCGCTCCTACAGCTCGCATTCTGGCCATCACACGGATTACGTTGCCGTCTACTAATGGCTCGCGGTTTCCAAAGGCGATAGATGCGATTGCTCCTGTTAAAGGTAACCCACAAAATGAGCTGAGTGTCTAGAGTCTCATACCAGAGTTTATGGCTACGAACCTGCAGTGTAAGGCCCAATGCCCGGGATTGTCAGCAGTTGATCAACTGTAGACGGCAGCTCGCCGCCATAATTCTCCACCACGTACTTCGCTCCAGCATGCAGCATTCTGGCACGGCGGTAGTATCCAAGTCCAGCCCACAATGCATTCACATCCTATAGCCATCACAATATCAATATCCTTTATGTTGCCAGCAGATATGAACGCTACTACTTACCTCTTCGTTCGCTTCGGCCAGAGCTGCAACTGTCGGGAACTTGTCGATCCAGCGTAAAAAATACTCCACCACAGTGTCCACGCGCGTCTGCTGCAGCATGATCTCCGACACCCACGTCTCGTACGGCGCCACCTTCCTAGGCTTCAACATATTACCTCCATCCGTAGCAACAGGCATCTCTTCCAACTTGACATTCTCCACCTCCTTTTTCAGGAACGTCTCCAGTCCAGTCTTTTTGGATGCAATTTTCTTCTTCTGACTCGTGTGCGTTGCTGTTGTCAAATACGGCGGTGAGTCTCCTCGCCACGGAAGTTTCCGGCGGTGCGCGTCATACCACTCGAGCAGCTCCGTTCGAGTGGTCAGCAGCTCCTGCGGTCGGAAATCGTGTCGCTTAGCATCGTGTTGCGTCGAGAATATCGTCGCTTTGCCTTTAGCTGCGTTAGAGGCTTCGCGCTTGATCAGGTCTTCGATATCCGGCTCGCACGCAGCGGAAGTGGACGATATCGTCGCTGTCGGCGGCATTTTTTCAAAGTGTTAAACGAATTTGGCGGGAGATGCATTTTACACCCTTAGTCACAATTTAGCGGCAATCCGGTGTCATTAGTGTTTTTCGTGTACCACACATGAAAACAACAACATACAGTCGCTGAACAGTTCCCCAATCGACGGAAGGCTCTTCGATCTATGCAGCGCGTGGCCGTCTTGTCCCACGTGAAGGCGAGCTCGGTGCCGCCGAGTCTGAGCAGCAGCGGTGTGCGGCGCATCGCGTGGAAGGGTGGCAAGATCTCGTCCAATAAGGAGGAGGCGCTGCAAAAGTTCTACCAGCGCAAACTGCGGGCTGGCGACCACCTCACGGCGCAGCAGATTAAGGCCATGCAGCCAACGCGTACGTCCATTTCTCTTCAGTTTCAAGATATATTAGGTGACTAACGGCCGGTTATATGGTGTCACGACGCAGTGGACGTCAAGCTGGACCTTGACGCGGCGCACAAGAACCCCAAGAAGCTGCACGCGACCCACCGACCACATGCCAAAGTGACGGCGAGTGGGAACCGCACAGTGCTCAAGACAGGCCGCGTACTTGGACCCAAGCTCGACTCGAAGCAGAAGGTAAAGAAGGCAGCCAACAGCAACACCAAGCAGCAGGCTGCTCGCCAGCCCAAGACGGTCGTCAAGATGCCGCCAAAGCGGACGGGGAGCCCTTCCATCTCGCTGGAAGACAAGCTGGACCTCCCACTGGATGCTCTAGTAGGTGGCAAGAGCAAACGCAGCAATATCATGAAGCGGAGGTGAATGGAATGTGCAGGATAAAGAGGCACGAGCAGAGGAAGAGCAGGGTTGGAGAACTCGAGGAAGAGAGAAGACCGCTGTCCTGCGGCCGTGCGTGTGAAGGAATAAATACTACACTTGCATATCGAGAGGGCAGACTAGAGTGTGCTTCCATCCTCCGCCACTGAAGCCCCGTCTGGTCGGGATAAGAACGACGCGGTCGTTGGAGAACGAAACGCGATCTTCAGAGCTTGTAGCAACGTCGATACTTCGATCACAGTTAGCGTATTGGCGAACTTCTTACGCAAAGCGCGGCGTGTGGCCTGGTCGTGCTCCTTAGGGATCACACACACCTCCAGTCCAATTTTCTGCGCTGCCGTGAGACGCGACTCGAGCATTTTAACTGGTCGCACGTGGCCTGACAACGACACTTCTCCTAGAAAGGCGGCACGTTCCAGTACAGGACGACCGAGAACAGAGCTGGCTAAAGCCACAGCTAGCGCCAGATCTGCTGCAGGCTCTTGAATTGTGTAGCCCTCCGCGATATTCACAAACACACTTTGGTTGCGACAAGAAACCCTCGCTCTCTTCTCCAGAACCGCGAACAACAGCAACAGTTTGTCGAATGCTACACCCACACCGCGTACACGAGAGAAGGACTGACCGCCACCCCGTCCAGCGTCCACGTTGTACTGTGTTCGGTTCGCCAGGGCCTGGATTTCGAGGGGAATGGGACGCTTGCCTTCCATCGCAATGGTAACAGAGCATCCGTCAAGAGGCTCAACCTCGGTCTCTTCACCATTATCAGGATAATCGTCATCGTCCTCATCATGAGATGACACAAATGCCATGAGGGGATTCGGTAGTGGCTGGAGACCTTCGTCCATCATGTTGAAGACTCCGACCTCACTGGTATTGCCGAATCGGTTCTTCTGACACCGAAGAAACCGCCGTGCGCTTTGTGGATCGCCTTCTAGCTGCACCACGGTGTCTACGATATGCTCCAGCACCTTGGGACCAGCGATATCTCCACTTTTGGTCACGTGGCCGATCAGGATCACTGGCACGTTGCGTGACTTGGCTAGTCGAAGTAATCGAAGAGTGCACTCTTTCACTTGGTTCACTGTACCTGCAGGTGAGGGGATGTCTTCTGCGTAGACAGTCTGAATGGAGTCGACCACTACAGCCCCAAATCCTTGATATTCATCGTCACCCAGTTCACGTCCATTTCCGCCTTCCAGTAACCGGAACACCGAGTTCAGATTGGTCTCACTGGCCACGAACAGACTGTCACTCACAGATCCGAGGCGTTCTGCACGCATCCGCACTTGTAGCACACTCTCTTCACCGGAGACGTACAGCACTCCACGCTCACGCATCGCCGACCCATTGGCCAACATGTTTGCCATTTGTAGGGCAAGCTGTGTACAGATAAAACACCAACACACCATAGTTTCTAATCAGCACGTAGCTTAGCATCCAATCCATTTAATGCAGTGTTCGTACCGTACTTTTGCCGACTCCGGGGTTTCCTGCCACCAGCGTCAATGAGCCAGCTACCAAGCCTCCTCCTAGCACCCAGTTCTGATCAGCAAGCTGTCGTTAGTAGCTGCGACTCTCCCATTCCATAGTTTATATTCTTATGCCATACCAACTCGCGTTCTGGCAGTTCGATCCGCTCTACGAATGTGTCCAATTCGACCTCATTCATACGAAGAGCATGAGGAACACTCTCCTCAAAAGTATCAAGACTTGTGCTGGACCAGGCCACCGCACGCTTTGTTTTGTTCTTAGTGAAGGACGAGGCGTTCGATTGCCGGAACAGCGGCTCGGATGGCTTGGAGGACACCACGGAGCCCCACTCCGAACAGGCTGAGCACTGACCCTGCCACTTGACGAAGTTCTGGCCGCAGCTTTGACACCGAAAGCCGCCAGACGAGCTCGCGAGGTTGCGCGCGTGAGGAGCAACACGTTGGAGGTTGGAATCGAGCCGTGCTCTCGAAGGACTCCGTAGGAGACGGCATTGCGCAGCCAGCTTCCACGTCCACATCAGGCTTGCAATTCTGGTAGCCTTGGCCAATCAGAACAGATTTTTTTAAAAGAAAATTGGGATCTTTTGGAGGCCAGGATTATAATTCTGGAAACGTACATGATCTAAATCCTGGATCCGTCCAGGACTGAAAGATAAATTTCATTGCATTCTCGGCTATTTCCGATCAAGATAAATTACGAGATTTGTTTTTCATTTTGGTTTCTGTTGCCCGCCCTGAGAAGCCGTCGAGGACGAGCAGGAAACATGCGCACTCGGAACGGTTCTCCCCGCCGCAGAGGCCCCGGCCTGTCCGACGCCAAGCGTGCTGCTGATATGGAGCCGCCTTTAAGCGCTGAACAAGAGTCGACTGAGCAGGGAGATGAAGAAATTGGAGCTGGGAGTGACGATCATAATAGCCATGAAGACCCGAGTGATTTGGGTGTGGAGAATGATGACGAGGACGTGAATGTGGAGAATGATGGCGACGACGTGGATGTGGAGAATGATGCAGAGGAGGCGTCTAATGACGAGGCGAGTAACGATGGTGACGTTTCTGTGTCTGTGGATGCGCTTTCTACGTGGCATGCCGACTGGGACACCTGGCAAGCATATTTTTCGCTGTACTGCAAGCGAACCATGCAAGTCCTGCCTGTAAAAGAGACCATGTCACGCGCAGAGAGAAACAGGCGGTTGCTAAAGACCAAGAAAGGGGAGAATTCGTCTCAGCTGGTTCCTGAGGAATTTGATTCATACCAGCGGACGTACATCTGTACACACGGGTGGAAGAAACGCAAGTCACGCAGTGAAGGGTGTCAGCCTCGCCAGCACATCCTGTTGACGGATTGCCCCTTCGTTTTGTCGTCCATTGGAATATGGCGAAGGGAGGATTGATGGTGAAAAATGGCTGTTTCACACATAACCATCCTGTTTCACCAGCGGCATTTGCAACGTACCCTACGTCTCGTGGCCTTACCGAACCGATTGTGACCGCCCGTGTCGATGTTATGTTGGCGGTTGGTGCCAGACGATCCCGCATTTACGATTATATTCTGGAACATGACCAGAACGTCATTCAGGTAGACATCGACAACCTGGTTCGAAACCATGCGTCCTCAACCAGTAACGCGGACGATAACGAGGGAACAGCTCGAGAAATCGCCGCGTTCGCTGCTGCGGACCCCGAGAACGTTTCAACGATAGCGGAGACAGAGGCTGGTGAAAGCGGCGTGATTTCGCTAGCTACGGCGCACATGCGTCGCATTTACAGAAGGTTTAGAGAGGTCCTTTTGGGTGACTGCAGCCACAAGACCAACAGGTAGCTCATATCCATGTGTACAGGATTAATCCTGGATGTAACATGATTTTTCCATGATTTGTTTATAGGTACAATTATCAACTGCTTACCTTCATGGGGATGAATGAATTTGGGGAGGGTGCTGTGGTACAACAGTTTCTCATTGAAGCCAACAGTGATTGGCATATGGAGAGAGCAATTGCTCATTTCAAGCACTTCCACCCTACACACATTAAGATGCTGAGGGTTATCGTTGTCGACAAGGACCTGAACGAGACCCGCGATCTCGAAGAACACTTTCCCGAAGCTCGGGTGATCATCTGCCATTTTCACGTAATCAAGTACTTGAAAGAAAAGCGTTCCAAGCCCGAGTTTGGAAAGATTTCTTCTGAAGATGCTGCTCAGATCGATGCCGCGGTTCACAAGATGGTTTACAGTCAGAGGAAAAATACACGGAGGCAAACGATGCGCTACATGAGATTTGCGTTCGGATAAGGATGGATGGGTTTTATGAGTACTTTCAGGGAAATTGGGATGCGTCTCAAGAGCGCTGGGTTTCTCACTTACGATCTAAGCTCCCGCACTTAAGAATCACACTAACAACCGTCTGGAAAGCTTTCGGGAAGCTAAAGGACGCTGTGGATGGCTCTATGAGCATGACGATGTGCATCAAGGCCATTGTTGCTTACGATCGTAGAATGCAGAATGAGTACGAGTACCAATTACCGCGAATTGGTCGATTTGTGAATAGCAATTACAATGAGGAGATGACAAATGTGCTTCACTTCACTACCCACTATGTTGCTCAGCAGCTTGAGCAGCAATATGCGACGACTATCGCGAAATTTGATACGTACAAGTACGATGAGGATTCGGATATGGAAGGGGATCTTTTGGTCAGTGGAAAATTTTCTGAGCACCGACTGCGGACGTCGGATTGGAAGTGCGACTGTGAGCTCTCCATTTCGATGATTCTTCCGTGCCGCCATGCTATAGCTTATCGCAAACATGTTGGAGTATCTGGACCGCTAATTCCGTGGAGCTGCATTGACGAAATGTAAGTGTCCAGTATTATCCAGGAAAAAACTGGACTGGATCCAGTACTAATCCTGTTTTTTTTTAAATCAAAATCCTGGATTGTTACATGACCGTTAAAATGGACTACGCCAAATCGACCACTGAAGCATGTGAATCAGTTCGCGTATAAAAAGTTCTCGACTATCGGTTCTGGATCAGTTCAGAAGAAGATGAGAACTCAGTCTGAACGTTACCGCGAAGCCGTACGAGATACACATCTCATAGCAAGCGAAATGGCGGATATTCAAGATGATGAAGAGTTCGAAGAGATGCTGAACATTGTGTTATCTCAGTGGAGAAACGTTCGTCAGCGCAAGAAGCGAGCGATTCGCGTCAGCGGGAGCGTGGTACCAGACGACAAAAGCGTGTGCGACCAGATGGCTCTTGAAGTCGCTGCAAAGCGGAAATTTGATTTAAGTTCAAGCGATAATGAAGACCAGCCGGGGTCTTCACCAGTTACCATATAATTGAACCCCAAGGTCACGAAAGTAGGCGCCCCACGAAAATTGAAGAAGAATACTGTAGCTGGGAGAAAGAAGGATGACAGTGGTTCGAGGCTGCAGAATCTGGACGTAAACTCGCTAGTGTGGACACATTGCAAGATTTATTGGATGCTTTGGATGAGGATAAGCCTGGACTCTTGAAAACGCAGCGGTGTCTATCCGGGGTTATTATCAGGCACGGGGGGTCCGACAACAAGAAGCCAAAGTTGAAAATATGCAAGAATCCTGTACTTGTCCAGGATCCGTCCAATCTGCTTCCGTCCAAGCTTCTTGATGCCTGTTTGAAAGTCTTGCCGTTGTCCAACACGAAGTCGACTGCTATATCGATAGACGGATCCCAACCAAGTCAGTCGCATAGCAGTGAAGAAAAGGCGGCTCCACAGTCTGTCGAAACGGTTCTCATAAAGGATGTGGGCCAGTTCTCCAGAAAGCAGATTGAGATCTTCAAGCGTGTCCGGAATCTAAAAGAGGTCGTCGAATTGGGACTGGGTACATACAAATGGATGACAGAGATTGGTATCCCCGCGTTACCTGCAGAAAATCACGGCCTCGCCAAGAAGAAAGCAGAAAAGGTGGAAAGCACGTACCCCTACCAACAGATCCAGGGACTCCCAGGTGTCGCTGACTTTCAGTATGGGATGCTCTATCGCGCTACACCACCATCCTGGCTATCAAATTCCTTCATCCGAGCTCTATGTCTGCGACGTTGCAGGGATTTCACATAGTGTCGGTTCGCCGATTTTCAATCCGCTGTCGTTAAAACGACACGCACACGCAATACTGGGAAGACTGTATTGAGCAAAGCTGTCCGTGATTGCGTGCTGAAGTAAGCCCAGGAAGAAGGTGTCGAGTCGGTGTTTGTTCCTCTCAACTTCGGGAACCTGCATTGGTGTTGTGTGGTTGTCAAAGTGACAGCGAAGAGGATTTGCTACTATGTTCCGCTGAACCAACCGGCGTATATGAACGCGGCAAAGGAAGTTGCCGTTAGTCTCAAGAACGCGGGCCTAAATAAATTTGACGTCATTCCACAGAACAACCCCATCCAATTCGACGGCTTCAGCTGTGGCGTATTCGTTTGCTGGATGTTCATCCGCCAGATAACCTCCGTGCCCCCTCAAAATATGAGTGACGCTTCGCTTCCAAGGCGCCGGTTCGAACTGTTCTGCTACCTACTTACAGGTCGTCTACTTCCGGCGGAGGCTGTTGCGACTGCTTTGACGGAGGAAAAAGCTCCGGCGCCAGAGACCGAGGACAATGATATGGACGAAGAAGAGGTGGCCCCAATCCAAGTTGCTGACAAGTGAGTGCCCTATGGTAGCTTTCCATTCTAACATTGAATGCATGTAACTTGCATTAAGATTCCTGTTGAAATGCTATAAGTCTTTGATCCAGAGTTTTTACATGGGATAAACCAAGCAATGGTGTAATTATATAAAACAATAGTTCCCTTCATGACAGAATCATGGCTACAAGCAGGATTAATCCTGCAAGGTAGATAGCCACACGTTACGAATCTTTGCGCGTCCTCGACAAATCTTCTCGAAACTTCCGCGTCCTCGACGAATCTTCCCCATATGGCTACTCACTTAAAATGCGATTCCACATACAGGATTCATCCTGACCTAAATCATGTACGTTTCCATAATTATAATCCTGGCCTCCAACAGCAGCCAAGAAAATTTGATACCATTTTATAGAAAAAGGACCAAAACTCGTTAAGTACGATGGAATTTGCCGAGTTTGCCCGACGGTTATTAAACCATTTTTGTGAAAAATGAATGCTATTTTATCATAACAAGCCGAGCGGAGTCCCGCAGGCGGGGCTCTTTACACAGGTTTAAGTCGACCAAGAGCGTGCGCCGACTCGCTTCGCTCGGCGGGGATTTATATTCCAGTTTATGTAGAGCGTAAACGTTCAAATATGGATATTGATAAATATTTGAAAACCCACCGGCATTCGCACATTTTAGCTGGAGCATACAGTCCCAGCCGGTTTTGCTGTACTATTTCTACTAATAATGGCGAGCGCATCCAATATCATTGTTGTCGTTACTGAACGTTCGCATAACCGAACGCGAAAAAAATACACATTTCACTGCTACAACAACGAACTTATTGTGAGCCAGTGTGACTTACCCGTCGAGTGCCAAGGTGATGCAGTCCTGCCAGTGTCTAGTGCCCCGTTTACGAACCACCGTCCACTGACAGTGTCTAGCAAGACAAATTCCAAGGGCACTCATGCGCCTACCAGTGCAGCTTGCGGCTGTACTACAACCGGCTACTGCGTACGCGTGCGTGCAATGGCGAAGGACTATACCATAGACTGTATGCGCAAGGACATTGTTGGTTGTGCGCTGCCAAGATTGTGTGCTTAACGAGAGTGCATTTTACTAGGTTTTAGTGTTGCTTTATTTGCTATTTGTATACTAATCTACTTCTTGCGGAACGGCGGTGCACTGGCGGGTGCTTCTCCCTCACTTTGCGTTTTGACGCCTGTAGCTCGCAAGCGAGCAGCAGCGAGAGCATCCCCACCCGATACCGCGGTCCTGTCGTGGCCTTTTGCCCGGTACTTACGTGTTTACGACCTTCCCTGATTGCTCTCTGCTAAATGCTCTATAAGTGTAGATACACTTAAACGACACCTACTCTTAGAAGCGACCGACAAGTGGAGAGTAATCCTCCAGCGACGAATCCTACGTCACCACTCTTGTTTCTGCACTCTGGGTGAGTAAAACAATACCACTTGGAAATGCTTACAGAAACTCAATCATAGTTAGAATTCGCTGTGCTGGCTTCATATCTTTACTCGGGAATCGAACCCCGACCTCATCCGTGGGAGAGATGAATCCTAACCATTGGGCTAACGGCGCATCAGACAAACTCAATGTTACCTCAAAACAAACACCACCGAAACCACAACCCTAGCCAAACAACAAGCGCCACAAACGCCTACAGCAGCATGCCAGCTGCGACGAGCAACATTCCACATAGCATACACCACAGTGTGGTTTAAAGCAGCAGCTTTATTTCGAGTTTAAGGCTTAAATGGTTAGTTTTGCCGATCGGTAAAATCGGCTTTTTTTCAATAAAGTATTCGTTGCTTCTAGGTTTAGTACCCGGACAACACCCGGAAGAAGGTAGAGTGATATCTCCAGCGGCCAAGATGCTAGGCCAATCGGGAGCAGCTCGCGCTGAGTTGCTACTTGCTGTACGACCCGACCATCGCCCAAGGTGACGGCAGTACAGCATACACAACCCAGTCCACACAGATCCGCAGGATCCCCAGGCTATGGACACTCGCTGACTACGCGACAGTCGTGGCCGGCCTGAGGTTGCAGCTATCCGAACGGAGGCTTACTATGGTGCTGTCAGTGCAGTTGCAACTTCAGCTTCAGGTAGTAGAAACGCTGTCTCTGGTGATGGTTTGACGTGGGCTGAGCTGAACGAGTATCTGGCTGCCAATATCCCTGTGACGGACTGAACGCCGCTCAATAACAAGTAGATATCTAATATAAATGAGCTTAGAGCACACAGGTACCCATCTTATTTAGCAATGAATGCATAGCTGTATAAAATCAAATAGCAGTACATCAAACCTATCGAGCTGTGCTTCATACTCTGTATACGGTCTCAATCCAAATATCTCTTCGCAGGAGAAAAATGTCTGAAACCTATCCTCGGATAGCTGATAGCTTCTTATCAAGAGGAACTTCTTCATATAACAACACGGGAATTCTGTAGTGTCAGGCTGTGGTATGTCTTCGTCAGAACCGCTGAATATATTTTGGCTTACCTCTCGTAAGAATCTCCGATTTCTCGACTTCATGCAATTCTCTAAGTCTAGCCTCGTCAGCTTCTGTTGTTTCCTCGTTCCCAAGTACGTCGAAGATCTCGTCCCAATATTCTACTGGATCTGGATCTGGATCTGGTGCTTCTTGATCCGATCTGACGTGGTCTTCCTCGATCTCGGTTATAGTTACAGCAGGAGGGACCGTACAGTGCCGGTCATTTGTCTCTCAGTAGGATCTCTCGCATGTTGCTGTATTTATAGCGATCAATAGGATTACGGCTGCAAGTTTTGGGAGCTTACAACCAAAGCTGATGCGCAGCTCCCAAACTCCCAGTAAAATGACACAGACTTGGATTCACAAAGAACCGACCATGCTTCCAGCGATGCATCTCGCGTGGTAAGTCCCAAACATCTTCCAAACCAAAATATCTGCGATAATATACTCCATATCCACTAATTCTCTCGAACAGGCGAAGTCGGGGAAATGCATTTATGATCGCTCGAGCCAGGCAAACATGACGGGAATGAAGAAACAGCGCAAGCAGCGCCAAAGGCTGCTCACATTGCTTCCACCGACTTTCTACAGTCGATACTAACTCAATATTATTTAAATTTCCAAAACAAATCCTCGATAAATATCCCGATATGATTCCACGACGTCTGCAAGGGTATTCTCATCCCGCTGCGACTTGCAAGACGCGCTCGAAAGCATGACTTCCCCAGCTGACGCTAGCTCACGCCAAAACGCCGGATCCTTTCAGATTTGCAATGGGGCTGAATCGATTGCAATTTTTTCTGGAGCAGTTCGAACGCGCAGCAGCGATGCAAAACATCCATCCTTCGGGTTTTCCTTTTGATGGGCCACACTGGACTCTTTCACCGTTGGTTGGCAGTGGTAGCTCCCGTTACCCACTACCGATTATGCCATCTTAACAACTTTTCATAGCCTATCCCATTCCCTTTCAGCCACGGTATGGCAACTTATAGATATTGTGGTGTAGCAATGGACTTCTGTGGCTCTGCGAGCGCCGTATTATTGAGGAAGTGTCGATGTGTGGGCCCGCAGCTCGAACAATCTATTTCCCAAAGTCGAAGATAGTTGAGCCGACAGAAATGGTTTCCGTAGCGCAGCGGTCGCCGTCGCCGCAGTGTTTGAAGATGTTATACGCGTGTGTGTTGTTGTAGTAGTAGTTGTTGTTGTTGTGTGTCGTTGTTTGTGTGTGTTGAGTCGTTGTTTGTGTGTGTTTAAGTCGTTGTTTGTGTGTGTTTGAATTGCAGACTCGCGCTGCAATGTGATAGACACGAGGAAAGTAGTGCCGATGTCGGAGTCGTTGTTTGTGTGAGTTTGTGGTTGTTTTGGATGTTGTGATGTGCACCGTTGGTCTAATGGTTAGGATTCATCCCTTCCAAGGATGAGGTCGGGGTTCGATTCCCCGACGGCGCAACTTTTACCAGCTGTTATGCCGCATTGCCACACCTTTTCCCCACCACGACGCCTTCTCCTACGTCCTACTGCATGTCGGTACGCCTCCTCGACCTGCTGACCATCTAGTTACTCGACCTGCTGACCATCTAGTTACTCGACCTGCTGACCATCTAGTTACTCGACCTGCTGACCATCTAGTCACTTATTACGCTTGCCTCTAGTCACTTATTACGCTTGCCTCTCGGAGTGAGATGTTGTGCACTACACTGTACACAAGTACTTTCTTGAATATGCAATTTGTGCAATTTGTGCGTTGGAGGCAGCGCGCGAGGATGGTGTATACTCTGTGGGGTGTTGCTCGTTGCAGCTGGCATGTTGGTGTAGGCGTTTGTGACGTTTGCTGTTTTTGGCTAGTTTGCGGCGTTTGTGGCGTTTGTGGCGTTTGTGGCGTTTGTTGTTTGGGTAGGGTTGTGGTTTCGGTGGTGTTTGTTTTGAGGTAACATTGAGTCTGTCTGATGCGCCGTTGGTCTAATGGTTAGGATTCATCCCTCCCACGGATGAGGTCGGGGTTCGATTCCCCGGCGGCGCACACCTTGCTTCCTTCTGTGTTGCGCGGCCTGTTTGGGGCGGTCTCTCCGCCTCCGGTTGCTGGTTCAGTCAGTCGGTGGCTTGTTGCTCGTTGCTCGAAGCACCTCTCGTCACTTTTTGTCGATATCAAATGCACTACTTTGCGGGACTGTGAAGTCTATAGCAGGTGCCTGAAGGCTAGACGGGCCCACTACAGCGTCCCTGTTACATGTAGGAGCTGTAGCCGTTAACTTGGTAAAACCATGCTCAGCTCAAGGTTATGTTCGACGTATCGTTCTGGATCGAAACGAGTGGGCTGTGGGTGAATTTGACGAGCTGATACGATCCGTTTTGTGGGATATGTATCATAGTGG